TGAGAATAAAATCAAACAATGAATGGCGAGGATGTGCACCCCACCTGTTGTTTTTGCAGATGGAAAGCTTTCTAAATTCCATGGTTTAAAAAGAAACTGCTACCTTCTACATTCAAGGCAAAGTGATAGGGTCTTTGTAAAGAGCCCCCCTTTCCCGGACCAGATACTTACCTAGGCTCCCTACCACTCTTGCCTCTATCGCAGCTGGCATTAATAGGCATTGAAGCAACCAGAGAAAAAGAAATACATTGAGGATATATGTCCTCAATTTGTTTGCCAGTTGCTTCATAGACATGTGCACACTAACAAAATGTTGTTAGCAACTACATTTATTTGCTAATAAAATTCTCGGTTTACATCTTGCTGGGCCGACAATTAAATTCTGCAGCTGAATGTAAACAAAGGGCACTGGGCTTGTGCAATTGCCAGCCTGCTATCAGCTATGGCAATTTGAAATGGCCATTAGCTAAATCTAGGCAACAGATTAATTGGGGAAGGAGATGGTGTTGCTTGAGAGTAAATAGTAACTCTCCAGCAACCAGAAACTACAGTTATCTGGCATCTACCAATCCCGTGTGTACCGGATAACTGGGAGTTTACTGTATTAGGAGTTTAGGGGGAGTTGCAGAGTCACGGTCATTATGCCCTGAGTGGGTAAGGTGATAATTTATTTTTAAAGTAGGTGTGTCAAAAGAAACACATGGGGGCTTCCAATGTCTTCTGCAAGTGCTAGCTGCCAGCTTTGTCTGGCTTTAATTCATCTAAATGACAGAGCTGAAATACACAACAATAATCACAGAAACGTCAGAATTCCAGTTATTCTAGACTTACTCTGGCTAAACAACTCAGAAAATAAGGTGGCCAGAGACCTAGTATTTTCAATAGGAGACCTCTGCAATGGCAGCCTATGCATTTATCTCATAGGATGCTGCTGTTAAAGTGAACCTGTAGTCAGGCTATGGACATTCAGGTATTTACATATTCTCAACAAGCAGAAAAAGGTAAGAGAGCTTTAAAACAAGCCATGTCTGACCTCTGTAGCTACTGGCACTGTGGAGCAATTTATTCTCAAGCATCACAGAAGAAGCACTTAAATCATTCAAGTAATTCGCCCAGCAGCTTCTTGCTTCCCCAAACAGCAATTACGCAGCAGGCTTCCAGCCTTCTAATATCTATAATGTAAACACAGAGCACGAGCTGTGGGAGGGGGGACAGAACTGCTTAGGGAGCTTGAACAACTTTAGTGTTTAGGATCAGTTGCTCCACAGTGCATGCAGCTCCAGAGGTCAGTGAGGGCTTGTTTCACAGTTCATTTACGGCTTAATGTATAAATACTTGCATTTTCATAGACTGCTCCTTGATTTATGTTAAGGTGATACAAACATAAAATACGTTTCTGGATCCCAAGCCACTCATCCCCACCCCCTACCAAGCTATTAATTTATTAAACATTCATACATTTGGATTGACAAGGCTTCAGATTCAATAATGACCCAACAAGTAATTGCTGAGTAAAAATAATCTTAGTGAAAAAAGGCAACAATCCGCTTTACTAAGCACACCAAGAGAAATCTGGTTGCTACATCGGGAAGTCAGACAGCTTTTGCTACTGCATATTGATAAACACTAATAAGGTGCAATTAGGTTGGGAACACATCTTGCACCAGACTACCGATACCTGCATTGCGTTCAATATATGTTTAAAGTTTTTAGGGAATAGTTTAAAACCCCTGTCTGTTTTTATCCTGGAATCGCACCAGAAAGTGGGAGGAAATCCCTTTTAGACAGTTTTCACCCCATGGAAAGATGAGTGTAAAATATGTTGCTAGCACACATTTTTCTTTATGTAGAAAAATCTTTTTTTTGTGCATAATGGAAGTCACAAATCAAATGTAATGTTTAGGAATCACACAGTATTCTTTAATCAGGGCAAAGGGATTCTTGCTATAGGTACCCTGGGTGGTTCTGAAACATTGCATTTGAATTATACTTTCCATTATGTACAAATATAGGAACTTTATGAAGAAGTGTACTGGTGTCATTTATAATTGTTGAACACGATACCACCCCTTCAGTTTCTACAACACCCTGTACTCAAGGACAAATGCTGGTATGTTGTGAGTTGAAGAGATCTCAATGACCCATTGGAAGTTTTTACCTATTATCCTATTGCAAAAGCTTACAGTTGTTAATGGATTTCTCATGAATGACAATGGCTACCAAAGGAAATTTAAACAATCACTGCAGCAGGAACACAGGCAGGAGCAAAAACCTGATAAAGGTTCTAACTGTTCCCTACTCTAGCCAATATATAATTTAACATTGTTTGATATATATCTAATGATATCTTCATTGAATGGCGTGGTAAATGTAGTTATTGGTTAAGCTGGTATTTGGACAACGATTCTGTGTTACATGACTTTTATATAAACACCAGTTGTAAACCAGTCTATGTTTCAATACTTAGGGGACCAGCACTTTCCTACTTTCTGCAGGTCTGGGAGCTGCAATCTCACTATATCTGGACGGATACAGTTAGTCTTACCAAACAGAACAGAAAAGATTGTTTCAAGTTTAAATTTGCAGAGGTGTGGCTCCCTCTGCAAATCCTACATTAGGAGTCTTCATGAATTAAAGGTGAAGCCCCAGTTAAACCTATATTAGGAGACTTTAAAGTGTAAGCCTTTTTTCCCTCACCTCCTTGCCAGCAATCCATTAAAGGTTGTATGCCATGCATGTCCTTCTCCAGGTGCTGCAGGCTATTGTTAGTAGCCTAGCCTTAGTTTAAGAAGACGCCACATACACTATTATAGGTATAGCTTCACATTAGCACCAGTTGTTGAGGTATCCAGAGAAGCAAGTACTTGGCATGAGCACTTAACATGAATCAATTACTGGACTGATTGCATGACAGTATATGCCCTCTTCATTTCTTTAGTCGGAGCTCTCATTTTAAAGTCGCCTGACCAGGAGTTTAATGTTAATTATCTACACAGTGACAAGTGGATCAGGGTTACCACAAAACATACAGGGTACTAAAGGCAGACATATAAACCCATGGTGCCAATCAGACAATTTGACTATTCTATTTAGTTGTGCGAACCAAAGTATGGTACTGTTCATACATGGAGGGGACACTTACAAAAACAAAAGCTTTATTGCCTAGAGGCGTATCAAATCTTTGCAGCAGCAACATTCCTGGAAGATTCAAGTCAATGGATGCTCTCCACATTATTTTGTACAGATGTAAAAAACGAACGCATATTTGTGCTTTTAGAGATCAAGGCAGAATGCTATAACCCCTGAGTTCAAAATACAATCTTCAATTTCTTCTAAGAGCTTTTAGGCACTGCTGCTATCCCTACAAGGTTCACATCAGTAAACTATGCACTGATAGACAAAGAGGGTGCACTGTACTAACACAGTCCTGCTAAGATCCAGGCTCAAAACTTTATGCACCTGGGGTAGACCTGTGACTGTACAGTTCTGCTCACCATGGGGGTCGCTCCGATTTTGAATCTCCTGTACATTTAAAAAATTGTATACATTCTAAATGCAGTCCTCTGGAAGCAGGAAGGCTGAACAGCACTGAAAGGCTGTATAGAAACACTATCATCATCAGGCTTACTGAAAGCCCTGCTGAATCTGGAAATACAATGCCCATTTGTATAATATAATGGCAGATTAGGCAACTGTAATCCACAGATATGTATCCCAATGTTTGAGGTTAAAAAGTGAACTCAAGGCAAAGAGTGTCTAAGTAGCATGTTGGATAATGAATGGTTGCTAGTGTGGCAAAATGTAAGGTATAATCAGACTGCTTGAGATAAAAGCCAGCGCAGGGCTGGTCAATGGGATCTCCTGTAATCTTTTATTGTTCTTACAAATGGACAGATTCTTTCACCATGCATGTATAAAACACAGGGCCACACTACCTTGCTAGCAATCATCATAGACCAATGAGCAGTCATTAATTGAAAATAATTAGATTGTGCAGTCATCTATCAGATTTGCCCACTTACAGTTGTGCTCAAAAGTTTGCATAACCTGGCAACTTTTGCAGCTATACCACCTGCAAGAATTCGGGGCCGCATAGCCAACTATTACAAAAGACTCCACGCGGTCATTGATGCTAAAGGGGGCAATACACAGTATTAAGAACTAGGGGTATGCAGACTTTTGAACTGGTCATTTCATTTTTTTTATTTGTTGCCTTCTGCAGTTGCAAACATGGCAGAAGATATTGGAAAGACTAACAACACTGAACACAGATTACTGATCACATGATTAAAAGGTCACATTAGCAAAGGATAGGTGTATCTTGGTGTATAGGAAACCCTATAAGCAACAAGCATATACAGCTCCAGTGTTTGCCAAAAGTAGCTCATGGCTCATCTTCACAGTGGCACTAGGAGAGGTCTGGGAATATATGTAGATCTGCCTGATGGGAGATTATTCTTTTTCCAATAATGGGGCCATAAAGCATTCAAACACTAAGCATGTTAATGCATTCTACTGTGAACAATGTGGGCCATTTCAGGGTACCAGTGAAGAGGATTCACCCCAGTAAGCCATTAGAAGAGTTAATTCACCGATATCTTCCTGTGCTGCTCTGTTTAGGGACAGCCAAATACAGTAGCTAAACAATGTTGGTAAACAGATGGTACACAACTATTCAAAGCCTGGAACCAATGTAAGAAGTCATTTAAAAAGCCACTGACAAATTCAATGACAGATATAGCTGCCGTCATACATTACATACTGTTTTAAAGTAATCATAATGCTTATTCATTGGTATTGTTATGGTGATTCTGGCCTCACCGGGACCAATTTACAAAAAGTGGAAAAAATAAAAAGTCTCCGTCTAATCATTCAGATTCATGTCATGGAGATGACATCCTTCCAGTGCAATTTTAGAAAGGGACAGTTGTAAACTGAATGGGTTTTATTTCTTCTGTCTTTCCTGTTTCTTTTTTTTTTTTAAATCAGCCAAAAGCAATGCAAAACAACCAAAAAAGTGAAAACAATGACTAAATGCAGCATTGTTAGTGTCCATGAGATGAAGAAGCCTCCGATGAGACGGGGACAGATAAATAATATCCACAGCAAAATGTCACTGAATCTCAGAGACTCGCATTGCACACAACCCAGAATGTCAGCAATGTATAATAAGGCAAAATACTTTGTAACCAAAGTAAGCAGAGAAGATCCCAGAGTCTTCAAACCACATTACACTTCGTCTGTGGGCAACAAATTAAATACATCCACAACCAGTTTCTCAGGAGAAAACAAGTTCCTGTCATAATTTTAGTCAAAATGATGAATCCATCTGCAATCCTCAAGTCTGCCACACAATAAGATGGCTTCTTTCCGATCGTCTGCACCTAGGGTTTGTTGTTAGGAGATCGCCGTAAGCCTCATCTGTGTCTCCAGTTTCATCGCCTGGACATAAAGGAATAGATGTATATATTAAACAGGAGCTTGGATTTGTAACCAATAATAATCAGTTACATCTAATTAGTGTGTTTGTCTGTCAACTGTGAGAAAGCCACTCAAAAGAAAACCTGCAATTTTGGGTGTAAATATAACGAGGGGAATTTATTAAAACTGGAGCAGACAAAATCTGGAGCAGCTGTGCATGGCAACCAATCAGCTTCTCTCTATCATTTTGAAATCTAAAGGTGCCCACACACCTTACAATTTATCTGCAGATCTTCTGTATTCAGATGGAAAAAGTGCAACAGATTGGCCCAGGTGGAGATTACTCCATCCCCACAGTTAAGTGAAGATGGAGGAATCTGTTGCACCTTTTCCATCTGACCACAGAAAATCTGCAGATAATTGTAAGGTGTATGGCCAGCTTTAACTGAACAAATTGGAGAGAAGCTGATTGGTTACCATGGGCAACTATTCCAGATGCTGACTGCTCCAGTTAAATACATTCCCCCCCAACCTGTCTAAGGGCCCATGTATAGAAGATTTTATTTCACATCAAAACTGACCATTCAGTGCTTATAAACTGCTGCCATATTAATATGGTCATGGTGTGATACCAGAATTCACCACTGCAGCTTAAGATTTGGGAGTATTTGTTGCCACGAGATGACTCCTGGGTCTACCCTAATTTACAGTGAAAAATCCCTTGAAGCCAGTGCTACAACCAAAAACACATCTAAATTACTTTATTTAATTTAAATGAGTGGTTTTCATCTACCACAACATTGATTGTTCTGTACAGCCATTGTTCCTATTTATATGCCCCTAGCATAGTGCATGGCCAGTAGGCTGATATCACTATTCACTTTTGTGCCAGCTTGGACTATTAAACAGCATCACTATAATGTTGGGGTTCTCCCTGTGTCCTGCTCCTCCTGAATGCTTACTTAACACCTCTGTTTCAATTTCCCAGTGCCTTAAAACATGTTTGACCAGTTCTCTGAGCCCCTTTAATGTATTTTAGGAATGTAATGTACCTATAAAAGTCCCCCTCGTGTAGACACCCAAAAGCGGTATGACTGCTGCTGGGCGCTGCCTTCCTGGATGAGATGTCAGCAGCCCCAGACAGTCTCAAGGCTGTCACTTCAGTGACACTCTATAGTGTTTCCCTTCACTCCTCATTTGTCACATACATAAAAGGCTATGTAGGGAGGAGGAGGAGGGGTTAAAGAGCTGGGTCAGCACAGAGAGTAATTAGACACTACAAGAAGAGGAGAGGGCTATGCCATGTAAAGAGGGAGTGGTCTGTGGTAGAGAATTGACTAGTTAATTTTTCTAGGCAAGTTGCAAGTTGATAAATAAAATATTTTATGGAAAAGAAAAAGGTTCTCTTTAAAGTTGGCCACATGAGTTCCATAAGTGTTAAGGACCAACAACTATGTGCACGAGCTCACCTAATCTATCCTTTCAGGTCAATCAACTAGTAACATTTTAAATGTATTTTTTAAGAATACATAGCCAGACTGAAGAGTGAGGTTTTTTATGGTTATACATATTTAGTTTACAACATAGAAACACTGCGCATGTAATTTAACCCTTTCGCTGCCAAGGACGTATGGCATACGGACCTACAAAAGTGCTCAATACCATAAAAACATCAATATTACATACCAATCTTGAAGTTGATGTATCCTTCTCCACCACTCATCACTAACATAGTGGAATTTCCTGCACTTTCACTGCCACCTACTGGTAATGAAGAGTTGATGCAACCTACAAATATAAAAAAAAAAATCAGAATAATTAGTATAACATTATGATGATTTTATTGGGTTATAAATACAAATACTGCATGGAGGGTTTATTTTGTGAACACATGTTACCATAGAATTGTTATAGCCATTTATACACAAAGATCATCAAAGATGTTATCTGTACCAGTTCATATATAAATACCTGCAATAAATAATATGTGCCATGCCCTAGGATTATTTCAGGGCCCAGCCACAGGAGAATGCAGTGTGCCCCAGTGCAGATGCATTGGTGCGTTGAGATCTGTTGTGGTGGTGTGTTAGGCAGCCCATTCAAATGAATAGTGACTGAAAGTATTAACATATACATGGTGCCTTACTGCGCAATACAACAACACATTAGTGTAAGCAGGTTCTCAGTGGGAGGCCCAGCCACAGCAGATGGCCTTATTATTGAAAAGAAGGCAGGCTGCAGAATTCATGCACCAGTATAGATTGGAGGATTTCTGACAATTTCACTCAGAGGCTGTGTGGAACTGGGCAAGCTGCAGAGTAGATATCTACAGATAGAGGTGTTTTAGGTAAGGTAATCAAGTGACTAACATCCAGATTTGCATCACACATGAAGTACAAGGTAATGGCCATCTGGTGCACATGATCCACTCTGTGCTGTGCCATGCCGATATTGGTCAAATCTTGTCTGATAGACTTGACCAACCAGCAAGGCCGTAAAACCCCAACTAGGACTGGGTATAGGGTGGAACTCAAAAAAACAAACATGACACAACATAGTGCATCCAGTCCTCAACTGTGGGGTCCTTAAATGAAGGGGCATCCTACACTGACTCTGTACCCCTCAATGGACGATAGAGTAAGACATTATTTGACACCTATATGATATTTATAAACAGCATTTTGATGAGAAAAAAACGTATTCAAAAAACATAAAAAATGCAGATAAAAATTCAAGCATTTTGACAAACTAACCCATACATATTGTATCAGCAAGAGTGTGCCACATTGACTCATTAGGCTGAATACAGAAGTGTGCAGTGATGGCATGTGCAAAAGTAAGCATCAATGCTGTGGTGCTGAGTGCAAAAGCATGGCCACAAGTGCAAAAGTGTACATCGTGGGCTGCTCCTTTATTACATCCATTCCTTGTTCTCCCCACCACCTATTGCAAAATGTCAATTGTTTACAGATCAAGTAAATGAGAGTACGGCTGAATGGAAACTACTTCAGAAATGCTTTGCCGTGTGTGTGTATTTTTTTTCCCCACTTAAAATTAACCCGAACCATAATCATTTTAGCTAGGCAGCAGACACCTTACCTGGAACACTTGCAAAGAACCTGACAGCATCTCGATGACCATGAAAAGAGACTTGCGCATACTCCGCCGAACAGTACGGTGCCCTCTGGTTGTGGGAACTTTGCTCTTTATCATTTATTTCCTCTGGTTGGGCATCCATTTCTGAAAGAACACAGTTTAATGATAAACCAATAACACAGCCGAAAGCGCTTCAGTGGTCAAATATTCAAAAGTTACTGCAGAGTGACCTAAACATTTCACAATGGGAAAGAATAAATAAAGCTCTCTGCCATTAAAACTTTAAATAGTAAAATACCTTCCTAAGAACAGGAACCACAAGGAATCTTCTATTACCAATTTTACACTGCTGTATCATGTGCGGTCTATCAATTCTTAATGAAAGCTTGATAGAAATTGGCCAGTGGCAGGACAGTTTTGGATCAGCGAGAACTACTGGTTCCTTTGAAGCTGCCAGTCAAAGCAGGCCTATTACCATTTCATGAAAAAGCATGTGTTGCTACTTAAGCTAACTAAAAAATAGATTTTTTTTTAAACTTTTGCAAAGCAAAATACTTTTCTTGGAGTTCATTGAGGGATACAGAAAGTTAACACAGAAAATTAACTGTTGGGTTATATTGCCATCAACAGGACATTTGCAAAAAAATAAATAAGTGTAAGCCAGCCCAGGGTAACCCCTCCTACCAGCAGCAAGCCTCAGTTTTGTTGCACACAGTACCAAGAGCACAATCATAACAAAGGTGAGTGCCAACTGATTCCCTTAAAGGACTCCAAGACAATGATTTTATAGTGAATACAAAAATCCTATTTTCTTTCTTGTCTATTGAGGGTTGGGCAACAGCAAACAGCCGCTACCAGTTCCAATGTAAACATACTGACCGATACCAAAAGCGGAAATCGGATAAGGCCGAACTCTCTACTTGGTAAGGAAAAAAAATAGCCACAGCAGGGAACTATGCCTGATGCCCAAGGACCAAAAGAATAGTTACTTAACCAGTGAAGAATGTCTTGACATTTGAGAAACACCGACCACAGACCAAAGATGTGAGGTTGGTCAACCTTATCCTACTGGAAGGATGGAATGAAGAGCAGTTTTCCAACAGGAAAAAGTTTGGCAACTTTGACCATAGTCAATGAGGAGGGAGTGAACCACAAACTGGAAGGGTACTCTGACCAACAATGCCATGGTAGAGGGAAGACCAGAAATGATCTAAATAGAAAAAAGGGCCCTGAACCTCACCCGATTCCAAAAACAAGAAACTATGTCTAGAATGACTGCCCAGGAGACATTCACCTTGTCAAGAAGAGTGCTTTCAGAGAAAACCCTGAGCATGCCAAAAAAAAGCTCCAAGGAGTGTAACCGTGACTTCCAAGACCACCAAGGGAACCATGGCAAGTTCCCAGAAGTCAGTCTGACCACCTGGATGAGGTATATGGGAAATGCCGTACAAGGGTGGACAGGGAATGGAAGGTAGACTTCCACACCGAAAGACTACAACCTAAAAGGCCAATCTCAACATACCCATCAGCAAGGAGTTAAACATGGGGTGAAGCCCAAGGGAAAAGGCTTGCTGAAAACCCTGCCCATCTCAGAGACTCAGAGTCTAAAGATGTTGCTGACTCCACAGATGCATCTGGGTCTGAAGAGCAATAGTCAGAAGATCTACCAGAATGGTAAAGAACATTTGCCTTTGTTGAATCAGAGCAAGGATGATTACTAGAGAGGTCCTCCTCTCAAGTCTGCAAATAAGTATGACAGGCCTAAATCTGGGTGTGCCAGAGGGTTCCTGCACAAGGAAACTAGCATGTGCAGTACACAAATGACTTAGGATTATTATGGTGCCTCATTCCAATGTCCTGCTCCAGCAATGCAGGATCAGAAATGTAACTAGGTGCCTGGATCGCTATAGTAAGATCTCCTGTCTCTCCTTGATGGTAGAGGCATGCCAGCACCATAAGCACAGATGCTTCTGCCTAGGAACTTGATCCACAATTGCAGAGAAGGGGTCTGAGATAAGCTGAGAAGAGACTGGAGGAGCGCATTGGTGAGGAGGACTTCTTGACCCAGGATTCTCGTGCAACAGCTGAGTAATTGGTAATGGATGAGTCTTCAGAGACACAGGCTAGCGCTGAGGCAATACCAATGATTCCGTACCAGTAAAAGTGCTCCTTGGCCCTTACTGGAATTGGATCAGGAAAGAGGGTTTAGGAGAACCCAAAGCACGTAGTTCACTTTCAGGCTAGCCATACAATGTCGAGTCCCAGGGGGTTCTGGATAGCTGCTAATATAGAGATCAGCTGTAGCAGTGATTGATTGAAAAGAAAAACTGAAGAAAAAATGCTAGTGGCTAAAACGGTTAGAATTGTTCCAACAGAGCTGAAGAAAAGATATCTATCCTTCTAGGGCACTAGGAAAAAACTGAGGCATGCTGGTTGTGGGAGTGTCCAATCCTCTTATTTGTGGCAGTAAAACACAGCAGTTAATAACGTCCTATGTTCCTCAATGGACGAAAAGGAAATACTTTATTTTCATACTGAAATTAATCAGATTGGGATGCTGCTGCTGTATGCAAGACAAGCTAATTGCAAAAGAAAAAAAGCAACTCCACAGCCAAATATGCGTTGCGAGTTTACACTGTTGCTGAAACTAGGGATGCATTGAAATTGAATTTTGAGACCGAAACCAAAAATAAAAAATTTGTCAGGCCGAAACCGAAAATTACTTTTTTTATTCCAATCTTTAAAAAAAAAAAAGTAAACTTTTTGTTAATTATTTTATTTATTTTTCTTTTACTTTGCTGTCGGGGGCTCTATCGAAATATCAGGGGTCTAAACAGATCCCTGATATTTCCCTTTTAAAATATAAAAAGAGATTGAGGACACAGAGTCCTCAATCTGTTTTTGCAGCCCCTATTAAGAACTCCGCCTCCTGTGACAGATCGCAGCTGTCACCACCTCGGACCGCTCTCTATCCTGACACAGGAGGCCGAGCCGGGGGTGAGTTTGCCCTCCTGCAACAATGACGGCTGTCACCGTGCAGCGCCGCTCTCCATCCTGAAAAGTTCTCTTCTCTCCGCTGGGCAACAGTGCTCCATCGGAAGGCACACAGACCGGCGCCCAGTGGGGAGGAGAGAAGCTGGGATACACTGAATTTTTGGCTGTCACAGCACTTTCGGCAAATAGCCAAAAGTGCCATTTTTTGGCGGCCGAAATGTTGTTGCATCCTTAGCTGAAACTGTCCCTGAAAATCGTACTGCTCCATAAACACATGCACCTTTAAAGGCATTACATTTTTTTTAATTATTTAAAAAATTTGTGTATTTTTAATGTTTCTACGACATGTTTTCACCCCTACTGGTGTGCACATTACTGGATTTAAAAGATCCTGTTAACTATTTTAAAGTAAACCTGTGACCAAGACAAAGTAACAAAGAAAGTAGATGGCAGCATAAGTTGCAAGCACAGAACTGCCCTGAGCTTCCTGGATTTTACTCGCTCCAGGCTTGTCCACTCAAATAAGCAAGTACAGTGGCTGACCTACCTATTAGCAGGTCAAGGTAGATAGTGGAACAAGGATAGCCATATTCATCTGGTAATAGCAACTTAGAGGAAATTGCTATTTACATATCAGTGTCGGGAGGCTGTAGACAGCTCTGGGGTGAAACGTTCTGCAACAATACGTATGTACTGACACCTTGCACCTGTTACCTACCTTTGTTTTTATAGGGCATATATTTGCCTAGATATTATTTAACCAGATGAAATGCAGATGCTTTTTATTACTCAATCCCAATTACAAATCTACCCAAGGCTAGCAATTACTTGTTACCTTTACAGAATGGAATGCTGACCACTACTCCAAATGCAGTCCCGACCCAAAGCCGACCAGAAAACACTGACAGTGCAGAGACTTGTGCCATAGACATGCCAAAGCTGCCGGGACCTGTAAAACATACAAGGTGCACAATGCTCAGTTTTATAGAAGGATCCAATGGTTAAGTATTAAAACATAGGAGATAGAGAAAGACTGTAAAAATATAAAGGCACTTTTTCAGTTCCACTGACAGTGTCCACCAACCACAACCTTTGATGTGTTTGTCCCACTAAAGTAAGCACAGACAGTACTATGGGGTGTTATGTGAAGGGGAAAAAAAGAGTGCGGTATGAACTTTTGGATATTGATCATCAGCAGTTATTCAGTGGTGACGATATACTTTTATACTTTATAAAGCCAACTTTAAAAGAATGGCATGGCAGATAACAGTGTAGTGTTATAACGCTACGTAGCTTGAAGTATATAGCAAATGGTCATATCTGCAGAAGACTAACCTAACAAGTTAGAAACCTAACATAAAGGGGCATATTTATAAAGCAGTGAATGTGACACTTGCCAAGCATTTACTGCAGGGGCATGCATTTTAAATGTCAGTGATGGATTCACCAATAGTGAATGTTTGGTGTAAGTCACATTCACTGCTTTATAAATATGCCTTTTATGCGCATACCGTATTTCAAGGTACATTGTTTCCTGTGCATACCCTTCTATGGACAGAAAAATGCAGCAGATAAGGCTCCAGAAAGCCATAAATCCAGGTGAATTTTATGCGGTTGGACTATACACCTGTATGTGCACCCATGTGTATGAGCCCTAAGCCCACATTACTAAATAAGTAATATGCAAACATCAAATTAAATGTGCAAAATCAGAGATTTGCCATGTATACTCTTGTAAGAAGTACCTCTATTAGTCAGAAAGGTAAAGTGCATTTCACAGAACAATGTGGGAGGGATGCACCAGATCTCTGACCACTTTGCTACTATGCACCCCAAGTCTGGGGCCTCCAGAGATCTAAGGAAGATGTTTATATGTCATGTTTACTACCTGTCAGTGTAGGACAGGGTCACTTTGAATAGTGTTCTGAAACCTGCTGCAATTTTCTTTTTGGGTTTGGTATTTGCAAACAATTTAGGTTAAAAAAGGCATAATGCATGCAGTGTTTTAATTTCCAATGAATAACTTATGTTTATGTTCTACAAATATAATTGTTCCAGTTCACTAAAGGTTTTATTGCACAATTAACTCACTTTATATCTTACATATTGTTTATTATTACAGTATTTTGAATGAGAAGTCAAGTTCTGAAACGAACACTTATATTTGACGGATTTAGGTCCTAGAATCACAGTCCATGCATTAGAAAGGTTAGGGTTAACTGAGCAGAGGATAATGCACACATGGTGGCTGCACTAATTTTAATGTTTTCATATTCTTTCTATTTGTATTTAACAAACAAAAATGGATCACAACTAACTATAAAAGAGGAGTACTGGCAAAACTTAGTAATACCAAGGGAGGGCAGATCTACATTCAACTACAAGAATAAATATGATGTATGAGCAGATGTCCTCACCCAGCATCCTTTGTATAAATGGCTCCAGTTCAAGCTCCTGTAAGGGTTGACCTGTTTGGGCGTGGAACAGACGCAAAATGGAATCCAGTCGGACAGACACCCACACGCCATCCCCTGCAGCTGCAATATGTCGAACTTGACTTTCAGAGCGAGGCGTTGCCTCAAACCATTGCTAGAGGAACCAAAAGCAATGAAAATCATTTAATAAAAATGATGTCTTTAAAAAAATAATAGATACTATATTTCAGCGTTTAATGCGTTTACTGTACTATTGCATTACAAAAAAAAATATCTTACCTTAATTTTGGCGGTGCGCGGATCTACTACATATATCCGATTCCTGTAGCCGCACCACACCTCTCCCCGTACAGACACAGAACAACGAATGGACAGCTGGGGTCTACCCAAGTCTACAACTTTCGGATTGTCCAAATCCCAATTCCTAGCTAATAAAATGCTTTTATTTATTACAGCTGAAATAGTTACAGATAACCTCTGCAGCATTCAAGGTATACACAGTATTTATAATTGTATAAGTAAGTCTACAAAATAGGCACTTTCCTTCATATCTTCTCCTTCAATGTCTTTATGGTGGTCTTGTATGGTAAGCAAGGTAGAGTCTCAGTATGCTGGTTAGGGATTCAGATACACATGGACAGAAAACTTGTAGCCCAATCTTTTTCCATTCATATACTGCTCAGATGAATGAGCTTACTGTTGTCTGCAACTGGTTAGAGTGTGGGTGTTCTGTTGTCCTCGATCAAGAAATCTGTCAAGGTTGCCAGGTGACCAAATCATAGTTGTTAGACCATACACATAGATGGCCAGAACCCAGGTTGAGTCGGGTTGCCTAACACATATCATACTTATGACTGGCTTAATACTGTAAATTTTCGCACACAAAGCCTCGTCTCACACAATGTTGCATGAGAGAAAAAGTATCCTTAAAACCCAAAACAACCTGACTCTCCCTTGCACTGTCCCATGCTATGCTGGAAACATAACAGGGAGGATGCTTTCCTCAGGCTCCTATATCTCTAGACCATTGTGTGATTGCATGTGTTTTTTGTGATTTCTGCAGATTGTAAAGCTGAAACTGTACTCATAGAATAATAATAGTAAATCACACTTTTCAACTTACCAGCATTTCTACTAAATATTGCAAGTGTGCCATCACCCAAAGTTGCAACTACGCGGTCACTGGTAGGTCTATGATGTAGACAAATGAGAGAGGAAGAAAAAAAAAAGAGAATGAGGGAGAGAAAAATAGAGACAGGGAGACAACAATGTACAAGTGCAGAAATTCTCAGTAATCAAATGGAATTCACCTTTCCCTGATCTGGCCTCCGTAAACTGAAACCAGACAGACTAGTACAAGTTGTTGCAATTGTCACATCCTCTGTGATTTTTGCATAGGACCGAATAATATAATACTATATTGAGCTCTGTATATCACAGAGTCTGCACCCTTCTAAGGAGAAATAATAGTAAAACTATAATGATAGAAGTAGATATTAACATTAAAATGAGTAATTAAAGAGTTTTAGATTACTGCATATCAGTTATTGATTAAGCTACAGGCACCAACAGGAACATTAGCTGGTGTGTAAATTAAGACACAATCTGCACATCTTTCTCAAGCAATACTGTGAATAGGGCACCTTGCATTCTCTGAACTAGAATGGTTTTACTTGTAACAGAAACCCACCAAGCAAATTCTGATTTAAAAATGTGTACCATGGTCATTTAAAACAATACAAAACTGACAGACCTCCTACTTTGAAAAGTAATTATTGTTAAGCAAACTTAGGAGAAATTGAGATTTAATATGAATTCAAATTGACTTAGTATTGATATCTGCAGCATTTTCTCAACATGAGTCGTTCTAAAGCGGAGAAAGATTCTGGGAACAGTAAGCAGTAAACTGTCAAGAATAAAGACAAAAGAGACAGTGCTGAGCAACAAGATAACTCTACAGGTAATGTAGAACACACCTTTATCTCTTCATAACACCTACATAGTATGTATAAATAGCATGGTGAATGATAACTTACACAATACTGTGTATGGCATCTTTAAGCTGAACTTTCTGTAGGCAGTTCCTCCAAGCAGATACAGCAGAATGAATAAATAAACTAAAGAAAACAAAACAAGAAAATATTACTTTAAATAAAACAAGAATAAAGCGTGAATATTAAAGTTATCCACGTGCCATTTCATATCATCCGCACCTTGGAAAAAAAAAAATTATCCATAAAGTTCATGCTGAACTCCAGGCAAACAACTATAAACAAAGACTAAATACACTGATCAGCCATAACATTATGACCACCCACCTAATATTGAGCAGGTCCCCCCTTTGCCACCAAAATAGCCCTGACGCGTTGAGGTTTGGACTCCACTAGACCTCTGAACGTATGCTGTGGTATCTGGCACCAAGCCATCAGTAGCAGATCCTTTAAGTCCTATAAATTGCAGGGTGGGACTAGTTTTTCCAGCACATCCCACAGAAGCTCGATTGGATTGGGATCTGGAGAATTTGGAGGCCAATTCAACATCTCAAACTCATTGTTGTGTTCCTCAAAGCATTCTTGAACCATTTTTTGCAGTGTGGCAGAGCGCATTACCCTGCTGAAAGAGGCTACTGCCATCAGGTAATACCGTTTTCATGAAAGGGTGTATTTGGTCAGCGACCATGTTTAGGTAGGTGGTACGTGTCACAGTAATATCCACATGAATGGCAGGACCCAAGGTTTCCCAGCAGAAAAATGCCCAAAGCATACTGGTGCCATCTCTTCCCCAGGTTAAGCGAGACACACACACACGGCCATCAACATGATGTAAAAGAAAAAAAGTGATTCATCAGACCAGGCCACTTTCTTCCTTTGCTCCGTGGTCCAGTTCTGATGCTCATGTGACCATTGTAGTCGCTTTTGGCGATGGACACAGGTCAGCATAGGCACCCTGCTACGCAGCCCCATATACACAAACTGCGATGCACTATGTGTTCATACACCTTTCTATAGGAACCAGCATTCACCTTTTCAGCAATTTGACTGAACAGTAGCTCTTCTACTGGTTTGGACTACACTGGCCAGCTTTGGCTCCCCAAATGTATCAATGAGCCTTGACCGCCCATAACTCTGTTGCCGTTTCACCCATTTCCTTTCTTGGACCACTTTTGGTAGGTCCTGACCACTACAGACCATGAACATCCCACAAGAGCTGCAGTTTTGGAGTTGCTTTGACCCAGTCATCTAGTGATTACATTTTGGCCCTTGTCAAAGTCGCTCAAATCCCTACGCTTTAGGGACAAAATGTTCACTTGCTGCCTAATATATCCCACCCACTTCCAGGTGCCATTGTAACAATGTTATTCAGTTCACCTGTCTGTGGTCATAATGTTATGGCTGATCAGTGAACAAAATGGGAGTGGCTTTACCTGCCAAAGAAATTGGCCAACAAGTCCTGAGATCTAAATAGACCTGTCAAACAGCAAAGTATGGTCAGTGACCTCACTTTTCTCTACTGCAGTAAAGCAGTATAGCATGGTCACCTCCCCTAGCCTGCGAGTGGTCAGAAATAAAAACCATAAAATACTGATGAGTTCTCTCTACTCTCTCCTCTTGTCATGATATGAGCATGCGGCACACCTGCTCCACGCACTCCTAATGTGACCCCTCACTCTCCCAATCTAAGTTCTGCTGTACAGGGGGTTTGAAGGGACCGATACCAACATCGATTTGGAGGCTTGACTGCATTTGAAAATGCATGTCATTCGATTTTAATGAATATATCATTATTAACTGAACTGTTTGCTGTATTTCTATATCTGTCTAGAGTCTGGCTTTAAAGAAGCATGCTTCTAACCAGCAGAATCCAAGCTTAAAAGGAAATGTACAGTCTTTTTAAGGGTGTCTTCTTTAGATCTACTTGGAAACCAGCTAGATGTAAACATTCTTATCAATGCGTGGTAATCTTATCAAAATGTGGATATGTTTATATGCACACTGTGTGATTATGTTTGCTCTCTGTGGCTGATATCTTACTAAGTGGGAAAGTTAAGTGATTCCTTTGAGCAGCTGAAAGCTTCCTCAAATGGCTAATCTAACAATCCCTAAATTCAATACACTAGCAAAAATATGGAAGAGGGGCCATGAGAAATGCGAGAGTCACATCACTGGAAAGTAAATACAGCAATATTAACTCAAAATATTTGCTCATTGAAATTACACCATACTTTTCCTTCATACAACCACACTATGCTGCTACATACATAGTAAAAGGAACACAATTCAAATATATTTATGAAGATCACATAGAATACAGGAAGGATATCTGGCTGCCTTTTTTACAAGAAACAAACATCATTGAATTGTAAAGATGGGTATACACAGTCCTAATTTTTTTGTTCAACCCATGGGCTGAAGGAAAAAAAATAGAACAGACTCCTTAGGGCTTGTTCACACCAAGCGCAGAGCAGATCCAGAGCAGAGCAGGTGCAGACCAGATCAAAACTGCGTCCAATGTATTCCTATGGTATTTTGAGCTCCAGTTCACATGGCAGCGTGCAGATCCAGAGCAGGTGAAAAAACTATTTTACCTGCTCTGGATCTGCTCTGGAACGCATCAAAAACACATGCAAAATGCATGCAAGTGCCTGAAAGCAAAACTTGAAAAAAAAAAACGGCCCGTAACGTATCAAAAACGCGGCACAACCCACTGCACTGCGTGTGCAGAAACCTGACCGATCTGCTCTGCATTTGGTGTGAACAAGGCCTTAGCGTTGATGGCCGAATCCCCCTTTGTATTCCGACAGTGGCCAGCTGTTTGTTCTCTTGGCTCCGTTTGGCCACTAATTTTCTGTTCTTCTCCTTCTAACAACTGATTGAGAGATGCCGGGCGGAAGGGTGCCGACAGTGGCACCCACACCGTAAATTTTGGCCGGTTTATTAAGAACCAGACGAAATTCAAAGCGTATATAACCTACTTAAGACAGATTAGGCCCCATTTACACCTGTGATTGCATGACTGAAGGAGAATTGGCTGGAGGCGCTGTACAATGCAGTCACTGGCCGTAGCTGTTCGCAGGCTGTTTGCATGTAATCACATAGGCTGCGATTACCTGCAGATGATTGCACCTAGACACAACAGTCAGTGTATTTAGGTAGGATTAAAAATAAAAAAAAAACACCAAAAGCGAAATGTGCACTACTGTTTCTGGGCTGTACTATGGGTACAAACAACAATATGTGGGATCACTGAACATCAGGAGTAGAATTTTGGGTGGGTGGTGGTGGGTCATGGGAATTATTAAAAAAATTATACAGATTTAATGATGTAACAAAAAATATTTTTGACTTTTTTAGGCCAGTTTTCCTTTGATAATAAAGTGACACTAAACTCCGGAGTTAAATCTTAAAAATGCATTCAGGTACCTTAACTATTAACAAAATCTTATTTGTGTATCACTCGGCTGTAGATCCTCAAATCATCTCTGAATTGGTGCTGACACTGTCCTTCCTTCTGGAGAGTGGCTACTTTTGTTCCCCATGGGCCCTGTGTGTACTGTAAAGTAGTCACCACTCCAAGCTTGCTCCAGTGATTAGTAAACTAAACCTGAGATTGTAGTCCATCACAGGAGTGAGCTTGAAACCATGTGGAACAAAAGTAGCCCCCCCCAGAAGGAAGGACAGTGTCAGCACCAATTCAGAGATGATTTGAGGATCTACAGCCGAGTGATACGCAAATAAGATACATATTTGTTAATAGTTAAGGTACTTGAATGTATTTCTAAGATTTAACGCCTGAGTTTAGTGTCACTTTTAATTAAAAAAACAAAACCAGGAGATATCCATTAACATTAGCCACCAAATAAAGGAAATTAAACAATGATTTGTCCTGAAAAAAAATAAGGCATACTTTGCCAGGATACACCAAATTGTTGCAGAGATAGATACAGTTTTACTAACACATGCCAGAGCTGCAAAACTGGATAGGGGTTCTAAGGTTTGTTTTACGTTCCGTCATTAAAAGGGTTAAAAAGTTTTCTGAACACAGATGTGAAATTATTTTAATAAACACACATTTTGTGTATGTTACAAGTGACTTACCTCCCTTCCTGTGTCCCTAGCCACATGGTGGCACCTATGCCGCTGTCATGACCCCCCTCCTCTTCACAAGCTTCCTTCTCCTTTAAACATTCTAACCTGTAGGCTGCATGGAAAGTGAAAGAATTGGTCACAATCACTAATGCAGGAAGTATGAATTAGCAGTGGATCTTAACATGACAATTATCAAGATCAAGCCTAAGGCTGGGTGCAGAGGGGCCATTTCTACACTCTATTGTCGTAAGCAGTTATCGCTATCAAAAATCACCGGTGTGAGTGTACCCTAAAACTGAAGTCTTACAACAGCTGGAAAGCAAAGAGTTAATCCTGCTGTAAGAGGGAGACATTGGTGTGAATAAAGTTTGGCAATCAATTTAACAGTTTACATTGTTGCCTTTCATTGACATTTGATTAAATCTAAGCTCTGGAATATGAAAATATTGTCAGGATACAAAAGTCTTGTGTATGTTTACATTGAGGATGCACCAATACCGATACTAGTATTGATATCGGTGCAAGTATTTGGGTGAGTACTCGTACTCGGCCAAATGTTCCGATGCCTGGCCTGATACATGAGCTTCCGGTATCAGGAAGCCACGCAGCGAGTCATTACACGGCCCCTGGCTTTCTGATTGGCCAAAAAGCCGGCTTCATGCTCCCTCGTCACCAAGCCAGCTTCTTGACCAGTCATTACACGGCACCTGGCTTCCTGATTGGCCAGAAAGCCGGTTCCATGCTTTCTCATCACCTGGTGACGAGGGAGCATGGAGATGGCTTCCCTTCTAATCAGTAAGCCGGGTGGCTAGTCTTTACACGCTTCCCGGTTAATCAGGAAGCCCAGCGGCGAGTCATTACACACCGGCTGGCTTCCTTAATGGGACTTCCGGTATCGGCGCGTACCGAAAAAAAAAAAAAAAAAATATTGGTACTCGTAATCAATACTGAAAAACTTGTATCGGTGCATGCCTAGTTTACATGTATTCCGTGTATCTTTTCCAGATCTGTGCAATAATCCAGTGTGAAACATTGCCTCTGTGCAAAGGCTTCCTGCAGGACCGGTCACTGCTGCTCTCTCTCGTGGTGCAGGGTGACAGGTCTTGTATCCGCCCCCACCTGTGGTTTTCTGCCGGCAGCCTGTAGTGGGTGAAGCCTGCTGAGCCCCTCCCACAGCTCTGCTCTCTGCACAGGCTATGTATAGCACAGTGATGATGTAATTGCAACTTTTATATGGTAATACTTGGGTTTGCAAAAACAGTTAGTGCACAGAAAGTAAATGTATTTGCTCTGTGACTATCCAGAAATATATGTGAATTAATGTTTTTGTGGCTGAAGTTAAGCCTTAAAGCAGAACTCCGGGCACAAATTGTATTTATCCTTGCAGTGGGGCTACCCCCGCATTGCAAGGGTTAACTGCTTGTTTTGTCTAGGTAACTCACCTGTTCCTCCGAGCCGGCTGTGACAGTGCTCCCTCCTGCCTCTCTCCTTCTCCACTCGACTGCTGGTATGTCCCTCAGTGTCCTTGCGTCCTATACACTGTGTACAGAACGTGATAACTCAGGGACCTTAGACAGCTGCAGTGGAGGAGGAGGGGTGAGGCGAAAGGAACCGGTCTAAGAGCCAGCCAGCTCCGAGGTTCAGGTGAGTATAACTTTTCTTTTTTGAAGAAGAAAATGAGCAGTTAACCCTTGCAGCGTGGGGTTGCCTCACTGTAAGGGTTAATAACGTGTCCAGAGTTGTTCTTTAAGTTTTAAAAGAATATGCATAAAAAACTAAATCTACTTAGTTTACAAAAAAAAAGAAAAGAGAGAAACACATCTGAATACCTGGCACGCTGGTTACACAAAGGACGTGGGTGTTGGGAATCACAAACTGATCCATGACATGGTTTGAGGAGTTAGCATCGATCACCATGATTTCACTAACAGAATGTGTACCCGAGCATATCCACACTAAGCTGGGGTATGCAGCCTGCAGATAACAACAAGATTATTTAAAATATTATGTATCCAGAAAACTATCACAGAAACATTCTACCTTCAGAGAAGAGGTGATATGGGAGAAAACAGTAGTATGTAAAGACTATATTATGGAGGGGGAGGTGCTTGTAGTCCAAATCAGGAAAGAAGCTGCTCCTCCATAGACACAGTACAGTGAGTGAGCCATCCCAAAACAGGAAGTGTATTACTGCCCAGAGCACCAGATAAAAATAAGCCAGAAAAAAAAAAAAAAAATGAATGCAGCCATCACAGTTAAGGACTTTAAGCTGCAATATAAAACACAGTTTATGGTTTGGGGTTGAGATACGCTTTAAGTAGCACTTTTACTGTAATAATAAATAAGAAGTATAAAATGGAGCATGAAACTCAGGAAGCAAGTTTCTTATACACTTATCTGTTATTTAAAGTGACACTAAACTAAGTATTTCAATCTTAAAAATGCATTCCAGTCCCTTACCTATTAGCAAAAATGTATCTTATATGTGTATCACTCGGCTGTAGAGCCTCAAATCATCTCTGAATTGGTGCTGACACTGTCCTTCCTTCTGGAAGGTGACCACTTTTGTTCCCCATGGTCCCTGTGTGTGTTGTAAAGTAGTCACCGCTCCAAGCTCACTCCTGTGATGACTACAATCTCATGTTTAGTTTACTGATTTGTATAGAGATAGTAGTCCATCACAGGAGTGAGCTTGGAGCGGTGACTACTTTACAACACACACAGGGACCATGGGGAACAAAAGTAGTCCCCCTCCAGAAGGAAGGACAGTGTCAGCACCAATTCAGAGATGATTGGAGGATCTACAGCCGAGTGATACACAAATAAGATAAATTTTTGTTAATACTTAAGGGACTGGAATGCATTTTTAAGATTGAAATACTTAGTTTAGTGTCACTTTAAATAACAGATAAGTGTATAATAAACTTGCTTCAGTTTGTATTGGAATATTGTATAACTTGTATGTGAAACAATTTATTCAGATGGCTATTGATATCAGACATTACATTTTTGTTTTCTTTGCTTGCTGGGTTGATTGCAGGTGCTCCTACGGCACACCAGAGCTGTAATAAAAATGAACACAAAATGTTAAAACTCTTAACATTCAAATATTAAATGTGATCTAACACAACCAATTTACCTATGAAGTAGGTAAGTAGATTAATCAGCAATGATTAAAGTCAAATGTTTTTTTTTAAATAATAAGATTTTATTAATTTGAACATAAATGTCAACATATAAATAATAAACAGCCGTTTACACATATCCCTGTACATATGCATATTTTCCCCTTATACATACATACATATCTTTATATAAGCTCATGCATCTTGGGTATCTCATTGTATCTCGTATAGTTTTTATTTCTCACCCAATATGACTACACATCTTAATTTTATTCCTATTTGTATCTATATTTACCCCCCTCCCCTTACTAACTCCCCTATCCCCCTCCCCTAGTACCACTCTCCTCTGCATTTATAAAAACCCACATTCTAATATTTTCCGCTATACTTCCATATTACTTAAGGTGTCATCTTTTAAATCTTTAAGTTTCTCCCTTTGTCACAGTACTCCATCTACGTTCTTGTCCTTATATCTACTCCAGGGTTTCCACATGATCTCCCACTGAGAGTGTCGTTCATTAATGTGTGCCGTTAGCTCTTCATATCTCGGAATCTTATTTATTTTCATGGCCCATTCCTTAATATTTGGAACTCTCTGTGTGTTCCAGTATCGTGGAATCAATATTCTTGCTGCTGCCATAAAAAATGTAAATAAATGGTTTTTTGCTTTTTTTACCGAGCCTGGAAAAATTGAAAGGAGAGCTATTTTAGGTGATGGATCCACTCTAGTGCCCGTTACCTGGCTATAGGTTTCAAAAACATGTTCCCAAAAAGGCATTATAAGTTCACATTTCCACCATACGTGAAGATAGGTTCCTTCCTCCTTCCCACATCTTCAGCACACTGATGATTTTATCGGAAAAATTCTATGAAGTTCGGTCGGACACCTATACCATCGAGATAGGATTTTGTACCCCTTCTCTTGGTATGAGGCGGCAATAGATATCTTATGAGTCATAATAAAAGATTTTTGTATTTCCTCCTTTGTTAGGGGGATTTGTAAATCATTCTCCCATGTTGTCATAAAGTAGGGTCTTGTAGGGAATCGTTCTTTCATTAAATTCTGATATAATATAGAAATCATGTGAGTTGGTCTTTCTTTCTGACAACACATATTCTCAAACCAAGTCAATGGTTTATGTATTGAAGCTTTCTCTTGCAAACTTTCATATAAGGCTCTTAGCTGAAAATACTATAACCATTGACTGCATCCACACCTTTGTTCGGGTATCAGAGAAGTCATTGGCTTCAGATTTACTAATGCAAGAGCATCTATTATAGGTGAGGGTAAGCAGCAAGTCCATTGTAAAAACTGTCCCTTTAATTCCCCTGGTTTAAATATTGGGTTCCCCATGATAGGAGTCATAGGTCCCCCAATAGTGGAGATCTGATTTTTTCTTATCATGTTGTCCCATATCTTCAAGAGAGGAGGCACGCAGAAGGGGAGGTCCTGCCTCTGTGGTCTTAACTCGGGTTCTATCCATGGTATTGAAAAAGGAAGGATAGGGGAGATCTCCCTCTCCAGAGTGACCCAGAGCTTATTCATATCGTTAAACTTTCGATCCAGTATATGTGCCAATAGTGTGGAATTATAGTATGTTCTCAGGTCTGGAAGGGACAACCCTCCCCCCTCCTTCCTTCTTATTAAAATATCATATGCTATTCTAGGAGAGCGCCCTGCCCATATATATTGAATCAGTGCTGAGCGATTTTGATGAAAGAAGGAGGCCGGTAATTCTATAGGTAAGGTTTGAAAAAGATATAAAAAACGAGGAAGTATATCCATTTTATAAAGAGCTATTCTACCTACCCAGGAGTGTTTATAGGGTGTCCACCTCTTCATTTGTGCGATAGAAGACTGTAACAGAGGTCTATAATTAAGATCATAGAGTTCCGCTAAGTCATAAGTCAAGTAGGGTTGTAGGTAACTACAAGAGGGGTCCTGGTGATGGAGAAGAAGGGGAGTGATATACTGATAGTAGTATCTGTGACTGTGTGTGATGCTTGTGTCCATATTGTTCCCATTGAGCATCCCCCCCTCATACTTTTTTTTATGGACTCCATACTGTCCCCATTGAGCATCCCCCCACATACTTTTTTTTACTATACAGCCCTATTTACAGGGCTTTAAAAATAACTTGTCCCCTCGTCACGCCGATGCCGGACAAGTTACAGCCCCCGCCGGTTTAAATAGTAACCAGGACGCGCTGTGCAAGGGTTAATATTTTTTTTTACTGTACTCTAAAGCACCTCTTTATTGCAGTAAAAATGCTCTTCCAGCCCTTGCACTGCAGCGCCTTGTGCTATCAGAGCTTAGTAACAGCCACAACCCTCAGCATCATCACACAGACATATATTGAGGAGCATGTTGAGAGCGACGCATTCTCTCACAAATGTCTGTAGAAGCGTCTGCATGCCGACGTGCCTCATTGTATACACCTGTGGCCATGGAGGTGATGGGAACACCTGAATCCAATGATTTGGAGGGGTGTCCCAAAACTTTTGGCAATATAGCGTATCTATATACATATATATATATACACACACACAAAGATACTGGTAATGTAAAGCATTTGAACTGTAGTTAGGTCAGGGAGTGTATCTGCACACATTTTCAGGATATAATATTTAACACTTTTCCAAAAGTTTAATGGAATCTACTGTTCATTTAAATATAAACCAAAAACCATGTAAAAGCTTCATACATAAAGGAAGTCTCGGCCTCATTTCAAGCAGTTTTCCCATGGGGGCCACAGACTATGGCTATGTCTATCAGACTATTGTGTATTTCGTTACAGGTAGTGAAGAGTTCATCTTTCCGGGTCTATAGTGCGGCTTTATAAAAGTACTGGGTGTAGGGGAGAAACTGATACATACCTAGATGTCCCATCTGGCATAAAAAAATATCTTTCATCTACAATGGGACTTACAATATATTTTCAAAACTAACTACAATGTGATATTAGCAAAAAATAAAAAAAAAATGTATTGTGATTACCGTCATTTTACTTAACCAAGAAAATTAGCATTTTTGGTAGTCTGTTCAAATGATTTTTGAGGGACTTAGAGCAGACCTGCTGTGGAAAATGATACTTTAATATGAAGAAGGTATGTTAAAATAGCCTAAAACCCCTCCTGCAATAATTTGGCACCCAGTAACATGACACTGGTTACATGGTCTCTGCCAATGCAAAAGATATAGGGAGAATGTCTTCAGCTAAAGACTGCATTGGCATGCACCTTGTGACCATGGTTCTGAAATGATTCAGTGTTCCCTTTATTGCAGGGAGGAGTAAGATTGTTAGAGCATTCTATAGTGTTTTGATTATATAATGCAGTGTGTATAATAAAAGAACAGTCGGTTACCTTCTTGCTTTAAGGTCAACTGTAACTTGGCCATACTTTGATGGATTAAATAATTCAGAAACGAATAAATCAGACCCTCTAACACACCTTTTTCCACTCAATAGACACATTGGATCAGCTCCCTAATACTGCCTATAGTATAAAGACAAAATTAATCAGTGCTGGGTCAGCTCTACTGATTTCTGTTTCCCTTGGAGACATGACTAGAAAAAAAAAGATGCTGGATCCCTTGTTCTTCTGGTCTCTGGGTCAAATGAACCTTCAACCCCCATTCCCTTTCAACAGTAGGTTTTCTATGACCTTGGTTCCAAGCATGCACAGTTTCCATTCAGCAGACCTAGATTTCTTTAAAGGCAGCTTACTTTTGTACTTGGGTCCTTTTGATCCAAAAGTCTCAGCTGTACTAAAACTGGAACGCCATTGATCTCATTATTTGCTTCAGCATCCCCCTAAGAAAAACAAATCAATAATAAAAACCGCTGCAGAAAGTCGCCCACAATCTGACCAGTGAAAGCAGAGAAATTTAGCATTTGTTGCAAAAGTAATAAAGCATTTAACAAATAGCAAAGCACTCCGTGTATGACATTGAGACATAAACCCTTAACTCATTCACAAGGGGGTACCCCAATGCAAATAAGCCCCCCTTCCTACAGACCCCCACAAGCAACGCCCCAGGGCTTGTGGGGATGAGGTCCTTGTCCTCATCGGCACGGGGAAAAGGTGCTTTTGAAGGGGGGACCCAGAAAAAGCACCCTCCCAGTGTAGAGGGCATGTGGCCTGGTATGGCAGGAAGGGGCCACTCTGCTCACTACCTCGGAGGTACTGAGTAGAATAGCCGAGACGAATGCCACTCGGTAGCATTCGGCTGTTCATTCACTGCCGTTCGGCACCTATGGGAATAGGGGCAAACGGCAGCGAGTGAACTGCCGGAATCCAGGGGTTGGATCGGCTGAGTTGAACGGCTTGTGCACTTCGCTCAGCCGAACTGAGCATGTACGGCTGATTTTAGCAATGTACGGCTGCAATCAGCTGTACAGAGCCAAGAGCATCATCAGCTCAGTTCACTTCGGCTGCCGAATAACCCTGTTAGAAGTGTATTTATGTTGCTTCCGTACAAGACCTGCGAGTGCCTCTTTCACTGGACGGCTTGTATCTACTTGCCTTGAGCGCACCCGGGCCCCTCTTATCTAAATTCAGTGCTCATTATATATATACACACACAGCAATTTTTTTTTATTCTACTTTATATGCTGTTCTAATTAATGGTTGATAGTGTATGGGCATCTATGGTTACTTTGACTGTATGGTCTTTTTTTTACTGAAGTTGTACACTCTGCTTCCTAATAGCAGATGAGAAGAAACTTCAAAGAGGACTTCAAAAGGGTGTCTTTATGTGGATCAGACTGTCACTTTCCTTTCTTTGTTCATGCTTCAGTAATATGAGAAGTCTACTGATCATTATCATTTCATCTTCATTTAATAACTTGTCTTGCCTTTGATCATCGCAGCAGTGAGATTTGTATGTGTCATTATAGGTTCTATATTATATCATTGCAAACAAATTGACTTAAACCCTTTTGGGAGAGTTCAACTAAGATCTATTTTGATTGGCATTCATATGTTTGTATATTTTCTACTCTCCTGCTGTTATCATTGTCAATAATAATTCTGTTCCTAACTGCTTGAATATACTGCACAGATGGAAAATAACCATAGTAAATTATCCTAATGTCACACCTAGGGCTTTGTTTAATAAATAGTATAGAGTACATATAAGCAGTGATCCAGTGATCCGACTGTTCTTTTGTCAGATAATGCTACCTTGCTTGCTGATTAACCAGTGATAGACCTAAGATAGCATGATCTTTGACAGCTCTACACAAAGTCATGCACCCTTGTATATCCTGCAATTTTTCTTGTTTTTGAGCTTTCCTCTTTTGACCCTGTCACCACAATACCCAAAAACATGCACTGGTCACCCGAATACCCAAAAAACCCTCACTGGACCCCACCAACCTCAATAATCTCAGACCAATCTCCTTACTCCTATTCACCTTTAAACTCCTCGAACGCCTTATCTACAGCCGTCTGAGCCACCACCTCACCGATAATAAAATCCTTTACCCCTTACAATACGACTTTCCCCCCCAACATTGCACGGAAGCTGCCCTCCAAAAACTCACTAAATTACTTACCGTACTAACTGCTAAAAACAATGTCCACTACTCCTTACTCTTGCTATTAGACCTTTCTGCTGCTTTTGACACTGTTGACCACCCGTTGCTCCTCAAAAACTTAACTCGCTTGGCCTCCAAGAGTCTGCTCTCTCATGGTTCTCCTCCTACCTATCTAAGCGCTCTTTTAGTGTCACTTACAAATCTAACTCCTCCCCTCCTCTTCCTCTTACTGCAGGGGTTCCCCTGAGGCTCTGTCCTTGGCCCCCTTCTCTTCTCGATCAACACCTCCTCCCTTGGCCAGTTGATCACCTCACATGGCTTCCAATACCATCTCTATGCTGATGACACTCAAATATATCTCTCCACTCCACAACTCTCCCCCTCATTGTCCTTGCATGTCACTAATCTACTAACTGACATATCAGCCTGGATGTCACAACACAAAACTAAATCTTTCAAGAAATGAGGTCATGATATTTCCTCCACCCCGTGCACCTTCCCCCAACACAACTATGCATCCCTCCCCCTATGGCAAGGTGCTAGGTGTGGTGCTCGACTCCAACCTCACCTTTCTGCCCCACATCCAATAGCTATCTAAATCCTGCCACCTTCACAACATCTCCAAAATACCCCCCTGCCTAATGAAACCACAAAGGTACTCATCCACATCCATATCGCTCGCCTCGACTTTTGCAACTCCCTCCTTATTGGCCTACCTGTACAATGGCTATGCCCCCTTCAGTCTATCATGAATGCTGCCCCTCCACTGGCTTCAATCATCCACAGGATAAAATTCTAAATATTAACAACCACTTACAAAGCCATCCACAACTTTGCCTCTGGCTATATCTCCAACCTCATTTCAAAGTATCACCTTAACCATCCCCTCCGCTCCTCCCAAGACCTCCTGTTCTCTAGCTCCATCGTCAACTCCTCCCATACTAACCCCTGAAGACTTCTCCTGAGTATCTCCCATCTTTTGGAACTCCTTACCCCAGCCTGTCCATCTATCTCCTACTCTGTCTGCCTTTAGGCAATCCCTAAAGACTCATCTCTTCAGGGAAGCCTATCCCACCTCAAACTAACCACTGAACTATCACTTCTTAATCAATTCATCCCACCACAGCTACCTCCTCATGTATCACTTGCCCTCCAAATTTAGACTGAAAGCTCTCATCGGCAGGGCCCTCCTTACCATTTTGTCTTGTAACTGTAATGCCTTCCTTATATTGTAACACGCTGCTCAAACTGTGGCGCTACTTAAAGAGTCTACGTACCTTGTTTGCTATAATTGGTGGAACACTCCAGCCATGAATTTGCGCTCTGCCATACTCCTTCCAGATGTGCGAGCGAATCTGGCGGTAATGTTCATGCTTCTTGCTTCGCAGTGGTACAGCATCATCATCACTAATGAGGAAAAAAAACATGTTTGTAGCCCGAATCCATCAGTTTTAATCATAGACAATAAGGCAGTAACAATACAGAGGTATCTCCTGTGACCTCAGGGAGACCCTTGATCCTGAGCACAGAATTTATAGATGTTTTGGATTTTGCTCCTGCTCAGAGTGAAGGCCCGTTCCTCCGACCATTTAAAGGTCCAATGTGAGAGGGTTTTATAGGTCATTGTGGTATTTGCTGCAGACTATTAATGACAAAGGCCGTGAGTTGGGGCCTCTGAATATATTGTGCCCAGGATTGATAAACTACCTGAGCACAGAAAACAATATGAGGATTACCAAAAGGTACTTTAAGGTAACACAAGGTGTCTAGATTTTGGAAATAATGTTAATTTGTACAATTATGAAATAACAGGTTTTCTTGAACCACTTGCTGACTGGGGTGGTAAACCCCCTTCCTGCCCAGGCCATTTTCCAGTATTCAGCACTGCGGTACTTTGACAGCGCAGGGGGCGGGGGACTTTTTGGGTGTTTTAATATGAGACTTTCATTTTTTTCCAAAAAAAACTTTTTTTCTTTAAACTTACTTTTTACCCTTAACTTGATTGCTATCACATTGGGGGCTTAAAAGCTTGTATGAGACAGCCGGTAACGGCCGTTATCCTTCCCGGCGGGTTTCTGCTCACGCGTGGGGGGGGAGGAAGTACATTTACGTGACCCCGCCGTAATTTTACGATGGGCGGACAGCAAGGGGTTAATGTTCCACATCAATGACTTGTCCCACTGTCCTTCAACTTTTAATACCTAGCTGTGGCAGATTCACCACAGACTTCTAACTGGTCTGGTTAGACTGGTCTGACAGGGATATTAAGTTCAGTCTCATTTACACAATGTAATCATATCACGTAGCTCTAACATTCTATTCTTAATGTGATCTCCCTTTATGAACACCAGTATGACAGTGGCAGAATGTGCTTGGTTCTTCCTCTGAGCTCCATATATTGCTGTGGGGAAGCCACTAGAGGGCAGGTGACACAGGACTGTATACATTGATTAGCTATAACTTTATAACCACCAGCCTAACATTGAGTATGTCTCCTTTTGCCTCCTAAACAGCCATGACCCATCAAGGCATGGACTCAACTAAGCCTCTGAAGGTATGCTGTGGTATCTGACACCAAGCTGTCAGTAGCAGGTCATTTAAGTCCTGTGGGTTGCGAGGTGTGGCCCCCATGCATTGGACTTGTTTTTCCAGCACATCCCACAGATGCTCGATTGGACTGAGATCTGGAGAATCTAGAGGCCAAATCAACAGGACAAATTAGTTGTTGTGTTCCTCAAATCATTCCTGAACCATTTTTGCAGTGTGGTAGGGCGCATCATCCTGCTGAAAGAGACCACTGCCATCAAGGAATACCGTTCCCATGAAGGGGTGTACTTTGTCAGCAACAATGTTTAGGTAGGTGGTACGTGCCAAAGTAATATCCACATAAATGGCAGGACCCAAGGTTTCCCAGCAGAACATTGCCAAAAGCATCACACTGCCACAGCTGGCTTGCCTTCTACCCATAGTGCATCCTGGTGCCATTTCTCCCCCAGGTAAACACGTAAACACACACACACACACACACACACACACACACACACGGCCATCCACATCATGTAAAAGAAAATGTGTGTTTTGTATGGTTTGGACACTTTTAAAGCCCCGCTTTTCTTTATCCTTCTTGTATACAATTCTAATTGGGGGTGTGGTGCCTATCCCTAATAGTTCAATTCAATTTTTATGCTTTAAACTAAAAGAAAATGTGATTAATCAGACCCAGCCATTTTCTTCGATTGTTCTGTGGCCCAGTTCTGATGTTCATGGCGGTGGGCACGGGTCAGCATAGGCACCCTGACCGCTCTGTGCTATGCAGCCCCATACGCAACAAACTGAGATTCACTGTGTGTTTAGACACTTTTTCAGCAATTTCAGCTACAGAAGATCTTCTACTGGATCGGACTACAGGGCGCATCTGTTTCACACGTGCATCAATGAGCCTTGGCCTCCATGACCCTGCTGTCGGTTCACCAGTTTTCCTTCCTTGGACCACTTCAGACTGGGAACATCCCACAAGAGCTGCAGTTTTGGAGTTGCTCTGACCCAGTCATCTAGCCATCACAATTTGGCCCTTGTCAAAGCTGCAAAAATCCTTATGCTTGCCCATTTTTTCTGCTTCCTACACATCAACTTCAGGGACAAAATGGTCACTTGCTGCCTAATATATCCCACCCACTTTCATGTGTCATTGTAACTAGATCATCAATGTTATTCACTGTTCGTGGTCATAATGTTATAGCTGATCGGTGTAGGATAGATTGCATGCAGTCATACCTCACCCCCACTACACCTTCAAAAGAAAAATCAATTTCAGATGAGGAAATTTTTAAACAAAAACTTTATGTTGACATTAACACAATTAATTAGTTAATACAACTACCATATATGCTGGCGTATAAGACCGGTTTTTGGACCCAAAAACACTGCCCGAAAATCGGGGGTCGTCTTACACACCGGGTATACTGTATTATTTTGGGCTATACTCGTCTTATACGACAAGTATAGTCCAAAACCTATATTTTAACACAAAAAGTAGGGGGTCGTCTTAGACGCCGGCAAATACGGTAATACACAATATAACATTGAACTACAGCAAGTTACTCACTCTGTATGTGAGGTGTTGTGTATGCGAAAATTGACAGACTGGTTCCGTACAGGACTGCTTATCTGACCAGCAGAGTGCACAGCGGATGCAGAGCGCACTCTGTGCAGAGAGGAGGGTGGAGTTGGTGGCGGCGTTACTGCTTTCCCCGGTGGGCTAGTGGAGCTAAATAATCTGTCAAATCTATGCATTAAAAAAAAAGAAGATTCAAATAATATTAAGAAGGGTTGCACACTTCTGGGAATCCTATTCAGTATAGTAATCTAAAAAGTAACCAATCAGGTAAGAAATACGGAAGCAGCCATTACTAAAGGGGATAAAATACCTTCCATTTCCTTTTAGTCTGCAGACCATAATTTGCTGTATTACAATAAGCACAATGACTGTTGTAGCAATTGTATGTGTTTTTGTTTTTAACAAGACTGGAGGAAAAACTTTCCACCCTAATAATCTCTGTACCCTACTCTCCTACTATAAGAAAGTTCCCTGTGTTAGACTGGCAGAAATGGGCAATGCAATACAGTTTGACTGGCTGACACTGCAGGTTCTACATCAGGGAAAGGCAATCTTGAGACTCCAGCTGTGGTGAAACTAAAAAGCCCATCATGCCTCTGCAAAACATATCTGTGGCTGTCAGAGTGTTGCAATGCCTCATGGGACTTCTCGTAGTTTCACAACAGCTGGGGTGCCAAATTCGCCTACCCCTGTTCTACAACTTTTAATCCTAAAGAGTTAAATCTTAAAAATTCATTCAAGTACCTTCTCGATTAACAAAAATATATCTACTATGGCTACTTTACAACACACAAAGGGGCCAGGAGGAACAAAAGTAGTCACCCCAGAAGGAAGGACAGTGTTAGCACCAATTTAGGCCTGGTTCACACCTGGGCGTTTTACAGCGCGTTCCTACGCGCTGTAAAACGCTCAACATGTGAAAAACAATAATTGCCTATGGGCATGGTTCCCACCTGGGCGTTTTACAACGGGCTGAAAACGGCCTACGCCCAAAGAAGTGCAGGAGCTTCTTTGGGGCGTATTTGCCGTGAGTATCCATTAGGATACAGCCGGATAGCCCTCGGGAAACGCGGTAAAAACACGCGGCACGAAAAGCGCATATTCCGTAGGCCCAGGTGTGAACCCAGCCTTAGGCCTTGTTCACACCAAATGCAGAGCAGATCCGGTCGCAGTGCAGTGGGTTGTGCCGAGGTTGTTTCTGATGCGTTTTTGCCGCGTTTTTGATGCGTTCCGGGCCGATTTCTGGTTAAAAAATTGTTTTTTTATTTATTTTTTACGTTTAACATGGGCTTTCAGGCACTTGCACGCGTTTTTGACACGTTTTTGCGTTTGTATGCGTTTTTGATGCGTTCCAGAGCAGATCCAGAGCAGGTAAAATAGGGCTTGCCGCAGTTTTTGCACCTGCTCTGGATCTGCACGCTGCGATGTGAACTGGAGCTCAAAATACCATATGAATACATTGGATGCAGTTTTGATCCGGTCTGCACCTGCTCTGCTCTGGATCTGCTCTGCGCTTGGTGTGAACAAGCCCTTAGAGATGATTTGAGGCTCTACAGCCAAGTGATATACAAATAAGATACATTTTGGTTAATAGTTTGGGTACTTGAATGCATTTTTAAGATTTAACTCCTGAGTTTAGAGTCACTTTAATGCTGCTGGTTGAAAGATCACAGTAAGCTGACATAAAGGCAAATTAAGGTATGTACCAGTTTCAGGTTACACCAGCTGTTTTTAAAAACCCAACCTATTTTTTTCCTGTCTTATAAAACAAAAACATGATTAAAATGTTTTAATATCTGCTTTAGATATTCATTTACTGTAAGGATATAACACATACACCTTCCAGAAAGAGGATTTTTTCATCTGTACGGCCTGAACTTCTTTGGAAGCCCTAAAAATTAAATGAAAAGCGGAACACTGCTTAGTAAACGTAACAAAACAAACAAAAGTCAAAGTGAAAACACAGCACATTTTATCAAATATGTTATTAGGACTTACTAAACAAGGGTTACATTATTTTGTAGCATTAAAAAGAAGTTTTGGTATCTTCATATTATCCTGAGTGAATGAATATAAAGATATATTTCCTAGTTGTTTTATGTGACTCATAGGACATCATGGTGCTTGCGTGTTTGTATTGGCATGCCCTTTGAACAGTAGTTGAAATCTTTTCGATTGTTATTGTCCTATAGTCTTAACAGTCTTCTGTATCAAACAGAACCAAATGCAGATAATGATTTCACAATAACAAAGTAATTTTGAAACATATTCCTCATTTTTATCAATCATTATCAATGACCTTTGCATCTGGAAAGTCATGAATGACATTCAAATCTCAAAATTGTACAATTACCCCATGTATTTTTTAATGTTGCCTTTTTGTTTGAAATTTGTACGCAACTCAGGCATCTGGACCAATAGAAATGGTGTATAAAATAGTGTCGCTACTGGCTTATGCTGATAATGTAGAACCGAGCTACGTCTGGTGTGAATAATGCTTTTGTCTCCTTTCAAAAATCTACCAGATGAAAGTGATTAGTCATAATTCAAGAGAAAACAAAAAGGTACAGCAGAAAAGGATCTCAGTTTGCCAGATATACTCTTCCCTTGGCTAATATAAGATTCAGACGCTTGGCAGCTTCAAGTACTTAAATTCTATTGTTCACAAAGATAATATTAAATCTAAATTCTCATGTAAGAAAAAAAAAATACAGTGCTTTTCTCTATATAAGCCCTGATTGGGGTTCCGTATAAAGCTGGAACCTGTGTACTTTCACAACAAAATGAGATGTAACTTGGGTGCTTTGAGCAGAAAGTACAAAAAATATGTATGGCACAAAACTTGGAGAAACATGTAAATCCATAAACAACTATATTGATTGGCTGTTTGGTGAATTTGATATTGTAAAACTCGTATAGGAAAGCAGACTCAGATGGGCAGATCACATCATTTAAGTGGATGGAATGACACTACCAAAAATCTGTTTTAATTGTGCTGGAAGGGAAGACATCTTTTTAAAAAAGACATCCGAGATGAAGATCTAGAAGTTCTGGCATAAACTGGTGCTCTACAGCAATGTCTGCATTAAAAGCTGAAGCTTTGAGCAGGTAGGCTGTTTCAACATTTAAGCATTAGAACCTGCATCTAATGTATAGTAGGATTTTGTTTTCTAATTGAAAGACAGGCAATATTTTTCAATGCATTTAGAAACACAAAACCGAATGCCAGTCACATGAGGACATGTACTGAACTCATTGAAATGAATACGTTTCTCAGTTATATGTAAGACAGCATTAAAATAAAGCCTCACTTAATGGTCGGCCCCAGATAAGTCATCACCTGAGCATTTCTGTCCTGCGTACTGCTTCCTGCAGTTCCATCAGCTTCTCCTTATACTGGTTCCTTTCCATCAGCACACGTGCCATTTCTGCTCTGGTGAATCTCTTTCTTTGGGCAGCTGGAATATCAACCTAGGAAATAGTTTTGGTAACATAATTTGTTAGTCACTTTTTTTTATGAGGTCCTGTACAAGAATTATTAGTATAGCAAAGGTAAAGTGTTAACTAATATGTGACATTATTGCTCAGTCATCATACAAATGCCTAAACACCTGTCAGTAGAGCCTGCAAACTGCATAGATCAATAATGAGAAAACTAAAGTTTCAAATAAATCTCATCCGTGTATAAAAACTACTGATAGATTTGCTGCAAAAATAAGATTTTGTACTCCCTGTAAAATAATTTTCTTGGAGTCCACTGAAGGATACAGGAAGTATTAAACCTTCGGGTTATACTGCCACCTACAGGAGGATTGGACACTGGCAAACAAAAAAAATGTAGAACAGCCCACGGTACAACCCATCCTACAACCAGCATGCTTCAAAATATTACCAAAGCAGTACCAGAGCATGATCATAAACACAGGGGATGGTACCTGTGTCCCTCAATTGACTACAATTTTCTTTCCATTCCATTGAAAGTTACAGGAGGTCTTACATTTTTGGGAAATCCTAAAGTTGTGCAACTAAGAGGTGAGCAGCACGGCAAACTGCTAACAAGCCCAACAAAAACAACAGAATTGGGGACTGCTTGTAGCTCAAAGAGCCACCTGAGAAACCTGATGCCGAATGCTGGCATAGGAAAAGGCCAAAATGTCCACCTGGTAAAACAGGAACTGAAGAAGACCAGGTAGCAGCTAGCAAACTTGGAAGTCAGTGGCCTGATGCCAAAACACCCAAAAAGCACTCATAGCTCTGGTGGAGTGAGCCTTGACTGAAAAAGGGGGAACGTGCTAGTAAGCTGTGTGTGTCTCCACAAATACACATATAGACATACAATTAACCTAATGACTCTGGGTGCTGAAGGGCAGGGAATCTCCTGCACAGATGGTTCTGTTAATATAAACTGCTTTGGTGCACAGTGTATGCCTCTTTCAGATTTAACGTAAGCCTTTTAAAGAACCTGAATATTTCAGCATGCAGTCCCCCACCTGCCCTATGGAAACAGATAATCTTCATCATACTACTGATTCCAGGCACAAAGCAAGTGACACAGGAAGTTGCAAGGCTGAAATAATAGAATAATAGTGTTTCCTGTCTGGTTATATAGCATTGCAGTGGTGTGTGGATTATATAACGTAGGTAAAAGAAAATACAAATAATGGTCAGAGATTGTCTAAGACAGGGCTTAAAATTTCCACTCGCCTGCTCGCATTTGGCGAGTGGAAATAAAGTGTGGGCGAGCCAGACACGAGATCTATCTGCTCTCTCCCTTCTCTCCTGCACTTCATGTTTCCTCTTGCTCTGTCCTCCTACGATCGGCTCCGGCTGTTGTGTCTTTGTTTAGACAGGTGACGTGTAGAAGCCAGCGTCTCCTGTCACCATGGATACCCGCTCTCTACTGCGCATGTGCAGACAGACGGGACCATGAGCTCGAATTTAGTGGCCCGGCATCTAGCTATAGGCGTCCCTGTTCCCATGGCAGCACAAGTCGGCCTGAACTAACGGCCGGGTACTGTGATCCTTGCTTTGATCTCCACACTGCTATTTCCCAGGAGGGGGAGACCGATCTGCAAAGGGTCATGGACGTAATTTGAGCTCTGCAAGCAGGTACTCCAGTCTATTTTTTAGGATAGTTGGAAAACATTCCCTTTCATGATTGTTTAGGTTTATTATTTTAATAATCTGGCGGGAATGTGACATCATACTGATGCCATAGGAAGAGGGGGGCAGCTCTTTAACGTTTTTCTATTTGGTGATTAGGTTTTTCCTGTATAAAGTGTTGCTGGGAGTTGAAGTCCTCTATAGCTGGTGCCATTCTGCATTTTTGTATAAAGTGTTGCTGGGAGTTGTAGTCCTCTATAGCCGTTATCATTCTGCATTTATATATAAAGTGTAGCTGGGAGTTGTAGTCCTCTATAACTGGTGCCATTCTGCATTTTTGGATACATTTTCCTTTATGTTTACATTGCTTTATGGTAATATTGTAAAAGTTGTTATTTATTTTTGTAACTTTATTCTGAATAAAACATTTAACAATGTAACTTCATAAGATAATTTAAGAGGGCGTGTTTAGGGGCGGAGTTAAGGCCGGGGCAGGGTGCGGCAACTGGTGGTGGGTAACTTTCAGGCCTGGCTAGTAGCTCAAGACTTGAAATTTTAAGCCCTGGTCTAAGAGGACTCTTTAATGCCACAGAATACACAGCAGTTGGTCTCATAATACCCCATACAATAATTTAAGGCTTTTCTGATTAGCATGTATTCCAATACATATACACATATTTACCTCTGCATCTTTACTGCACAGCTTTCGGGCTTCATCCAGTTCCATTCGAGTCCTGAAAAAAACAAAAAAACACCCAGGACATGTCAAGTGTCCAGGTTACACCAATCTCTAACAAATGCCCTTTTTTTTAACCTTAATACATTCTCTCTATTAAAGGTAAAAACCGCCCAGTACCTTTTTGAATCCCCGGTCCCCCCAACACTTACCTGTCAGCGTCGCTTGTCACTGCCGCCGGTCCCCAAAGCGATCCTCCGTCCAAACTTCCTGAGTGAGGGGAGGAGATTGAGGGGGAGGAGCTATAGGCTCTTTCTGCTGTTAATCAATCTGTTGGGCGGAGAGGGGGGGGCATGGCCTGCCGCAGTGCTGTCTGTGTCTATGGATGCACACTGCCACTTGCAGGCATGGCTGGGAACTAGCATGCATGGGTGCCTCCATAGCAGCCACTTAGCTGATGAAGACACCCATACAGAGGATGGGGGGAGAGCGCTGCATGGAGCCACTAGAAAACGAGGTACATTTTTAGTAAAAAACAGCAAAGGATTTCTTGCTGTATGGGCCTCCTATTTATAAAATAAAATAAAAAAACACATGAAGCTTTAATATCACTTTACAGAAACTGGTCTAAGAATAAATACCTGCAAATAATCAAGTACAAAAACGTACCTATCCTGCATCCTGTTTCACCGAACACTGATTCATTGAAAATAAAATTCCTGGCTGAAGTTTCTTCTGAAACCCACATTTCTGGGAATGTTGATCTCCTGCATCCCCCCCCCCCCAAGCTCAGTACTTCTACTGACACCCCACGTTACTACAGGACACAGTAGTGAAATGGGGATCAACAAGAGGAACCACTCAGCACAGGGGACACAAGAGGCTGGTCCCCTCATCCTGGCTTTTTTCTCTTTCCTTTCCCTCGCTTTCATTTAAATAGTGCTCTGCATTCTGATGTCGAGAAGCAGGCTGAGTGCTAAAGACAATTATAAATGTGCGCTTTGTTTGTTACATTTTTTTTTTAAAGATATACACCTCTAGTGTCTCCTAAATACTAAAATATAAATGTGGACTTTTTTTGTGTCTGATATTGGAAAGGTAACAATGAGAAAGTGTGGCTATACCCTAATTTACTTGACTATAACTTGCCATGAGTACAAGCAATATCGGACAACAGCCCCAGCATAAGAAAGGACTCCTGAATGGAACCAAATGAGGACCAGATCTGACCTGAAGTAGGTAGTATTTGGCTGATGGGTCTGGTCTGGAATGGGTGGTTATATTGTTTCAGTTTGGACTTTCAGCATTTTGCTCCGCCAGGTAGAGTATGATTTCAGTTCTCTATACTCACATATGCAGTTCCTGGTCTGTCTCTCTCAGCCTGAACTCACAGCGCGTTAGATTCTGTGCTGTATTCTCGGCCTCACGTCTAAGGGTCTCTCTCTCTGCTGTCAGCTCTTCAACTCTTGCAATCAGGCTCTTCCTAGCCATATCAACTTCATTCCTGTACATAAAAAATACATATATTTAAAAGGGCACCTTATTGGTAGAGGATTAAAAGCAATAAGGACAAGTTTTCTAACCCACCTAATCACTAGTTTCCAGCCTCCAACAGTGGCAGACTTAGGAACCACCCACAGACAAGGTTACCTAATTCAACCAGCCATTCTTAAGGGCATGTCAAGTGGCCAGGGTACACCAATCTCTAGCATTCCCTTTAAAATAAATAGCACCAGGAGTTTCTGCCTGTGACACCCTGTTTCCTGCCCTTCCTTATGCATGCACATACACAGCAATGCCGAATGTTACTGTTCATAGTTCTGTAAACCAATCCCTCTTCCTGAGGGTAGTCAGATTAGTCAGATTGTGTATGCATGTTCAACTGCCCTCATAGGTTTATGAAGGTTAAGGTTTTCAGAGAAGGGGTGTCTTCTGTGATCAACACATAGCCTGCTTCCAATCACATTAAAAAAATCACTTTAAAACAAGCCCTCAATTACCTCTGGATCTTTAACGGACTGTGGAGAAATATATCTTCAAAATTCATAACACAGGCAGTAAATTACATCTCCTTTGACCTTTATTTTGTATGAAAGCCAAAACTTGGCAGCCTTCTAATATATACAAAACAACAAGTTATGAAATACAAATAACATTTATACTTTTTCTGTAAATTAGTATGCAAATTATTCTTATACTATTGATTGTGACACTGACATATTTATCTCTTCCTGTGAGACTAATTCATTCATGTCAAAAAAATAACTTAGCATATCTTACTGTGCATCTCTGAGCTGTGCATTCTCGTCCATAAGAGCATCTACATGATTTCCAACACCTGGCAAAGGAAATAAACACAGAAGTCTATTCAAGCTATGGTAATAGAACAAAGAATACTACATTTGGTAGGCAGGCAGAAACAGACATTTAATTCCACATACAATGCTAATTTACTGTAGTGCTTCTGATTAACAGAAATGTATAATTCTTTCCGAGTATCCTTTACCCCTTATATAACCTCTGGCCACCCCTTAGGTTTTTGTTTTACGGTAACATGTGCATTCAGTCACCATATTTTGGCAGCCCACTGCAACGTATTGCACATTAGTGCTTTGCACTGTAACACACATCTGTTGGTAAGGCGCATTGGGGTGCCATTCAAATGAATAGCACCACATCATAACAATTTTTAAGGTAAAGTACTTCGTAACATGCGTGTTACCACAATAGCATAGTGTGAATGGGCCCTTACTGTACCAAATAAACAAAATTAACTGCCAAGTGCATATAAGCTTCAACCAAATATGCAGTTACCAAACAATTAATTGTTTCCATATACCATAACAAAAATACCAAAAGCATATAAGCACCAGAATGTTCACTCTGTGCTGCTACTCATTTCTAAAACACTTTTCCTGGCCAACATTGAATGTCTTGAAGAGATTATGTAGTAGTGGTGATGTACAGGCAGCATAGGCAGCTTCTGTTTGTAGAAGTGAGCACCAGGCATCCCTCTAGAATATATGCTAAATAACCATCTGCCATTGCTGTACAGCGGTATTGTTTGCTTCCTACACTTTATACTGCTTTTCTGTTTTTAGTGCCAGAAGGACTTGTTTATTGCATCACTTTTTTGTGCGAATAAAGTTAGATGTTTTTATGTTTCATATCTCTATGTTAAGGCTGAAAAGGCTAACTATCTTGCTATACCTGGCTTCAATATATCCAAGTCAAGGATCAAGAAAATCAAATACATACAAATAATGTATCAAGCAAAAAAGCCCTGGACCCTTCTACAGTAACCCTGGGATACATTTATATACAAAACACTGTGCCATGTCTCTCCCTGTGAAATCCCCACATTTTTCTTCGGAATGTTGTCAACTTCATAAACAGAATGTTGACACTGCAAAAAAAAAAAAGTAATGAGTGCAGGAGTGGTACTATAGTGCCACAATATAGTAGAAATATCCTGTGCATGTGCGGTAGTGACTGGTCTATGCGGACAGTACTGTGCATGCGTAGCATATTGCTGACATGTTTGTGACATCAAAATATGGTGATGAGATCCCACGCATGTGTGGTAGTGGGAATGCAGGCTGGCACATCGCCCATATATACTGATGGCGGTTTTTGGTACATCATACGTGTGCAGATATTTACGTGTGCTGCGCAGGTGTGGGGATACGGAATACAGCACGACCATAAAAGGCACACATATAGGGAATTACATTGCAAATGTGCGGGGCAAGGTCTACTGGGAATGGAAGTTTCATTCCTTGACATCCAAGAAACATGAACAAATGGTATAAATCAAGGGTAAATGTAATCTGGAATCCTGTAGAAACAAAAAGCTACCTTAAAGAGTTTCACAGAGGAATTTGAAACCTTTAAAAAAGGTAAACAAAAAGGTTTTTTGTTTGTTTTTTACAAAAGTCAATGCATGCAGATTCAGTAAAAAGCACCACATACCTAAATAAACTTCACGTTTGCCAACGTTATAATCAAAAATGAATACCTTGCAAGTCAGCACCATCATCCACATCTATAATAAACTCTGGACTCGTTCCACACATCTCATCAAAAAGCGAGTCATTGTTACGTTCGATCTCCTCCTGATCTGGCTCCAGTTCCAAATGTAATCTTGGGGAACTAGATCAACAGGTACAAATGAGAAGAATAACAGTATATACATGAAGGTCACAGAGTTAAAAGCTTGCCAGCCTGCAATGTCTCATAACATAGGCTAAAGTGTGCACAGAGAGATAAAAGGTATGGTACGGCGTCAGCTTTACATTATATACTTATGTCAAGCATATATTTCTCTGGAGTTCACAATGTGTACAGGAAGATTATGTTCCCTTTTTTATCAAAAAGTGGCAGTTACATTTATGGTTGTTAAGGTTAAATTACAAAATAAAAGTTACTACCAATCTTCAAATTACAAAATAAAAGTTACTACCAATCTTCAGAACTGTGAAATTGTGATGTTACTACCATTTAGAAGCATGCAGTTTTATGATGATGGCAAACTGAAAATTGAGACAGAAATACAATGAACATTTTCTCAGGATTTCTGATGATATTTTTGTATGCAGAACCAAGAAAGAAGCCCTTGGCTGCGGTCCTGAAACTGGAGCAGCAACATTCCAGCAATGCCTGGTATTCAGATGAAAATATGAAATTTCTAGCAGAGATAAGTATCTGAAGACTTCAGTAATGAAGGCTCAGTGATGCACAGCATAACCTACTTTTAAAAGCATTGCTAAAGACAACAATATTATAGGACGTTATTAAAGGAGAAGTAAAGCCAAACCTTTTTTTAGCTTTCTTATCTTTAAGCCATAGACATACCTTTTCTAATGTAGTCCTATGACCCAAAGTCAGCAGATAGCGGGGTAATGCCCACTATCTTCGAACAGCACAGAGCCGCATCTCAGCCGTTAAGGATCCCCACAATATTGCCAGGTTTCACCCTGGCTGCCTAAGTGACAGTTGGCTCTGCCAATCTAGAACCAGAGCCAGCTGTGCCCATCCCCTACCCTGTCCATCTGCTCAATGCTAGGAAAAGAGATCTTTCTGATCCTGCCAGAAATCCTGTGAGCCGATACATTTCTGCGCACTCTATTCTCTCTTACAACTAAAGAACACCATCTCCCTATCTTATGGAGATGAGGAGAGGGGATGTAGTGCTAACACATTTAGTCCTAGGGTGGCAACGCTGCTCTTCCATGAATACAAAACACTGAATCAGAGTTGTCGCCGCAGGACAGAAGGTGTGCTACAAGCAGGAATACAAGGTGCAAATAAAGGGAGACTCCTCTGAAGGTAGGGTTCACCAATACCTCTCACTCCTATTAAGGAGAGAGGCGAAACCCTCTGTCTGATAAAGACAGGTTGAAAGGTGGAAATGCTGCAGACCTTTCAATAAGGGACAATGAATACCATCTAGTACAGGTGATATACAACTTTAATGCTGAAACCTGATAAGGCCCAATCTCGGCGCACAATGACACTTACCGCCCTTCAAAAAAGGTAATCAAAGCATCTCAAAATGAGGAGGTTAGGAAAAAGCACTAGGCCAGACAAAAGGGTCCACACTCAGAGGTATCAGGAAAATACAAAAAAGGATAAAGCGCACTCCTGTGGGCACAATACGATAAGGTGGCTATTGTGTAAGGGTGTGCAGAAGCTCCTCGATACAGGGAGAGGACCCTGTCTATTCAAAATTGCAGATATGGACAAAGCAGGACAGGAGCGCGACTACCAAAAAGGATGTAGATAGGTTTATAAAGTACAGATTGTAAATGGATCTTTGTGTGTGAACAATACGTAACACTGTTAGTAGAGGACAAAGGGACTTACGGTTCGAGGCTTCCCCGTGGTCTGTGTGGCGCCCTCCTTTGAGAGGTCCAGGGTCGCAAGAGTGTCCCCGGTGGTACGACGGGCTGATCAGTTGGGGGTGCGCATCCGTATGGCCACCCACGGACTCGGCTGGCCGGGCCAAGCCGCGTTGGTCAAAGACGGAAGAATGGGGAGGAGCTACACGCGGCTGGGGCACGCCGTGCGTCATTGGTCAGTATCGGTAGCGGTGTAGGCGGTAGAGATCTCAGGTGGTAGAGGTCTCGGGTGGTCGGGTGTCTCCAGTGGCTACGCGTTTCGAGGAATCCCTCTTTATCAAGCCTCAAAGATACCAGCCGAGTCCGTGGGTGGCCATACGGATGCGCACCCCCAACTGATCAGCCCGTCGTACCACCGGGGACACTCTTGCGACCCTGGACCTCTCAAAGGAGGGCGCCACACAGACCACGGGGGAGCCTCGAACCGTAAGTCCCTTTTTCCACTACTAACAGTGTTACGTATTGTTCACACACAAAGATCCATTTACAATCTGTACTTTATAAACCTATCTACATCCTTTTTGGTAGTCGCGCTCCTGTCCTGCTTTGTCCATATCTGCAACTCAGAGGTATCAGATGTGCATAAGCACACTTAGGATGCGGATGTCTATCCGATGAGGTACAGTAAAAGCTGGTCCCAATTGACCCAGTGGTCTGTAAATCCCACTGAAGAGTCAGGGTACTAGGGGTTACCCAGTGCTACCAAGAGTCTAGAATACCCCAAGGAAAGTGGTGGCCCAGAGGCAAGGGGGAACATGAGCGGACCAGGGTAGGTGCATGAATCTGTGCTATAACACAGGTAAGAAAAGAGGGAGCAACTCAAAAGAGTATCAGAAGCCAGGAGTGAACCTGTGAGCCTAATGTGGAGCGATCTGCATTTTAATGCCTGAAGGCAAACTACCCAGAGGGATGCTCAAACAGCCTCCACTTGTTGAAATGTGGGCACACCTTCATGCCAACAGTTTTCAGAGGGCTTAGCTGGTCTTTGGCCACAAGACTTATGGACTGTCTGGGAGTCCGTGTAGGGGGTCTTGGGAGAGGTCGGCTAAACCCCATCCTATTCCAGAGATTAAGGTTTACGCTCTGGGCGCTTTTGGAATTCTATACAGTTTCAAGTATAGAGCAAAATAAACACTGTCCTTGAAAGTCCCAAGTGAATCAAATGCTTTTTGTATATGACAGCAGCATCCCAGCATCCTTACCAAAGACCTCTATGCATGTGAAGGTACAACAGCTTCATGTGAAACATAAGGGATTTAGGCAGGGATTCTAAATGCCTGTTGGCAGAATACCTAAAGGTAAGCACGTCCTCTACCTGTCAATCAGATGTACTGTTAAGGTGCATTACTAGTGGATTCACAGTGGGCATATAGTAGACCACAGTTTAACAAATTCCTTCTCACAGTGAACTGTTGCAACAAACTCTCAGGTGGGGCCCAGGACCTTTCAGGGTGTTTTCAATCCAAATAGAGAAATACCTTAAATAGTGGGTGTAGTGGAAAGGTCTTTGCAGCTCCACAAGTTCTGAAAGACTCAAGGCTGGAGACCGCAGGTTGATCCTCCAAATGCAGGGTAACGTGCATTGCATTAATAAGGTCTAAAATTACCCCTTGTAATTCTGCAAAAAACTGTTTCTTCAGAGACAGACTTTTGGGAATCGGAGTCCGGTCACAGCGTCCACTGGCCCAACCTGATCTGAAACATCAGGAAGGTCAGAGAAAGACTCCCTGACAATATGGTTGTAGAGAGAAATTTGGAAAGGTGCCCAGTGGTGCAAATAGCAAGGTGCTTTAGCCTGACCAGCCTTGGCCTCCAAAGCTGAGCTGACGAAACATGGATCTGGATAGCAACTATGTAGAGACTATCTCAACCAGTGATGTACTGAGTAATCTTAACTGAATTTAACAAAAAAAGACAAAAAAAAAAAAAAAAGGCTAAAAAAATTGTTGGCTAAGATAAGGTGTCTGTACTCATAGGACACTAACAAAAAAAAATAGAATTCTGGGTAGAGGAAATATTAGAAGGGAGCTGGCTTACCATTTTCTGGCTGTCAATCCTGCTGTAGGCAACAGTATAACCCAACTACATACGAGTTCCTGCGCTCTCAATGAAGGAGACATATATATGGATTTCTGCCTTTGGAAAATGCTAGCTATCTGGCAGTCTTTTTCTTCAGTGCGTCCCCGAGTCGCTGACTTGGGACATAAATGCAGATCATAAAGGCAGGAGTAAAGTCACAACAGATATGCATACTTGTTCTTTCCGATTGAATAGCAAAATGAAATATTTTTAGAAGAGTGGGAAGGATCACAGTCTTTGTCATGGTTTTAATTGTTGTCTACATCCCCAGTGGGGAGATTTCCAAGATTCTTGCCCCAGTGGATATTGGACAGGTAGCGAGGGGACAAGAAACAAAACCTGATATAGGGTCTAACCCATCATGATGCTTTAAATAAAAATAAAATTAATGTAAAAAAAAATCAAACACTGGATGGAATTGTTGGAAAAAGTTAAAAAGACGAGGAATTATCGCCCTTTGTAATGCTGATGTAGTTGGTCCTGGGAAGGCAAATGCTGGTATCTTGCTGCCTGTATCTTCAATGGATATAAAAAGCTGGAAGTGGACTCAAACTGTTGCAATCTATGCAAAACTAAGTTATCAATTAAGGGTACAACAAATTTTAAATATAACACAGCCCGTTTTAATATATATTAATACATAATTTCTTAGGCTGTAGCAAGATCTAATAACACTGTAGTTTAATAGTGGGAGTCATAACACTGCTATGCATGGGACACAAGATATCAGCAAATGAGTTTAATGCAGAATTAAAGGCATTTTTAGCATAATTGCTAGCAGTTAGCTTATTGCAGAAGGGACTCTCAAACTGAACTTCAAGATCTCAAGGGTTTGGCGTCATAGCTGATCACACGTGCAGCACAATATCAACTGCAATCCAAATAGGGGCTAACATGGCGCCTTCCTTGCTGTAAAGCATAGAAGGGTGTAGCTCAGTTTAAGAAACAATATGCCGCTCATGCAATAAGGTTGTCTTTTACACCACTGCTTATCCAGACAACATAAGCATCACTGATAAATGGGAGGTATGCAACAGCTTATAGCAGCCACAAAGTAATAAAGGACATGTTTTTCTTTTACAGCAGTCGTTAGAAATCTATAAAATGTTGGCAAGAAAATTGAAGTTTTGCCCAAAGGAACTATTCAGATTTCAGTCCTCGATACTTCAAAGTCAGTTATAAAATAAACACATCTTCTTCACGGTTAGAAACAACAGCTTTTAGACTAAAGGCTCACTGTAACGGTTATTACAAAATGTAAAATTCTGATTTGATATATTCACAGCAAGTGACAAATTATTTGTATGTGGAATCTGATCAGCTATGAAACACTGCCTTCATAAAGCTAATACAATAAAGCAGTGGAAAAGGAGAGATGATGTGAATGGTGTGGTAACCCATGCACTGTTCCTTCCTTATAAAATAAATGAATTCCTTTTCAAAGCCATTTCGTTATATAAAGGCCTGACCTTGCTTCTAATGGTTCAGAATTTAGCTTCAGCTCCGGGGTGGAATTAATGATGTCATCAACCACAGACAGTGCTTCAGGCTTAGGGGTCCCTGCGAATATTAAAAACACATATACAATTGACCAGTCACTATTAGGAAATACACAATGAATGGATATAGGAACAGGAAATGTAACAAAACAACACAATTCAAACAATCAATGGCCAATATTAAAAGACAAAAAAGTAGGTTTAGTGTTCATTACATTCATAACATTTAAAGCCATAGAAAATTATTTAACCGAAAAAGGGGTTTTGTTTGTTGAATAGTACGGATAACCTGAAACTACCAATAGACATGAGATGACAGCTGCTGAAACTGGAAGGTGGAGTTGGAGGGGTTCCAAGATTAAGGACTAGTTCACAACAGCTATACCTAGGGCTACTAATAAGGGGGCACAGACAGTCACATTGTAACAGGCCCTATTGGGCTGCTGCTGAGCACCTGTGATGTCATCCTTGGCAGGGGAAGAGAGGTCCTCCCTATGATCAGGTCATGCAGGAGTGGAGAGGTCTGTCCAAGGCTCTGGGATTCTACTGCTTGTTACCCTATAGCAGGGATGGCCAAACTCCCATGAAGCATCTCTCTCAGGGAGTCATGTCTGTGGCTGTGAGAATCTTGCAAAGCGTCATGGGATTTGTAGTTCCACAACAGCTGGAGGGCCGCAGTTTGGCCATCCCTGTCCTATAGGGAGTGTGATGACCAAAGAAGCGAGAATCCTTGTGAAGATGGCTGCTTTACTTTGCAACCCTGACCTGTGAGTGCGAGTGACTGAAGATTTTATATGGTGGCAGTTGTATGGGCAGAGTCACCTGGCCCACATAGGACCTGCTGTCCCTGGAGATTAGTGAACCAAGCACACAAAGGCTGTGCATCTCTATGGGCACCCTGCCCTGTACATCTGTAAAAGAGGAACACATTGAGAACCTAAATATGGCTACACTGGCACTGTTTGTGCAGGGGGCTGGGTGAGATTTGCTAATGCCATACACTTGCATTTATATTCCCCCTCCCTTTGCAAAACTTATTAAAGAGAATTTACAGTAAAGATACAGTATTTTGTAACCTAAAGTGTTCCCCACCTGCTGGGAGGCACAAATAATCTTTAGTGATGTCTCTGGATGAGAAGGCAAATAAATGCTGATGCTATACTGCAGAACTATAAAAACAGGAAATCTGGATCCTAAAGTGTAATCAGCAATATGCACTTAGTAGGTCTACATCCTGCACTCCAGAAGATAACATTCTCAGGAAGCAGAGTCGTTTATACTGTCTGAAAGTATTGTTTTTAGGCAAACGTTAAGAATTTTCCAAAATCATGTTACTTTTATACCTGGGTCCTTGTCTCTGAATCCATCTTGTGGTTGCAGCTCATCTTTCAGCGAAAGGTCTGGCACTTTATTAGGCAAAAGGTCTGCGCAAGTTGGAGAACCCGTCTCTGTGCTTGTAGGTTTACTCTCTTCAGGCAGAACCTAAATGGAAGTTATCATCACTATCACTTCTAAATATTAAAACCCAGAGAAAAATTGGCGCTTCCAATGCTTCAGTGGAACTGACTGTGGAACTGACTGCAACAATACTAATGTCACCAAGCAATATAAGGAGTTATTTAAAGTGACAATAAACTCAGGAGTTAAAGGAGGTGAGTGATTTCCTCTCATCCTCATAGTTAGCGTCGAACTATGACAAAGAAGCTGCCACAGGACGTCTCTATTGATCGGGAAGTTAGCATAAACATGCAGCCGATCCGCTCACTTCCTGTCAGTCACCGTTCCCCCCCAAGGATTTCCCCCTCCCCTCTCCAATCCTCCAGCGCTGAGTGGAGGAACGAACAGGGGATGGGGGTGGGCACAGCTGGCTCTGTCTCTAGATAGGCAGAGCCAGCTGTCACTGAGGCAACTGGGTGGATCACAACAGTAATGTTGGGATCTGTCCCAGCTGTGGCGCTCTCAGTGTATTGCGGGCAGTAGGTCGCTATATAGACTGAGCTATGGGTCATGGGAGGAGGTTGGTATATGTCCTCCCGTGACCCTAAAGGGAATTATGGGGAAAAACACTTACTCCATAGTTCTCTTTTAAACCTTAAAAATGCATTCAAGTACCTTAAATATTAACAAAAATGTATCTTATTTGTTTATCACTCAGCTGTAGAACCTCAAATCATCTCTGAATTCATACCAACACCGTCCTCCCTTCTGGAGGTGTTTACTTTTGTTCCCCATGGTCCCTGTGTGTGTTGTAAAGTAGCCACTGCACCAAGCTCGCTCCCGTGATGGATTACAATCTCAATACATATTAGTAAACTAAACGTGCGGTTGTAGTATATTGTAAGCTTGGAGCGGTGACAACAACACACACAGGGACCATGAGGAACAAAAGTAGCCACCCTCAAGAAGGAAGGACAGTGTCGGCAGCAATTTAGAGATGATTTGATGATCTACAGCTGAGTGATACACAAATAAGATACATTTTTTTAATGGTTGAAGTACTTGAATGCATTTTTGAGGTTTAACGCCTGAGTTTAGTATCACTTTAAAGGTTCAGCTTAGGGATGCACCGATACCAAGTACCGTACTCGGTACAAGTACAAGTATAGAGACTTTTCGAGTTCCAAGACTAGAGAAAAAATCAAAAGTTAGGAGGCAGCTGTCATTTGTAAGGAGCACACGGAGCTCCTGGGATTTGTACATCTCTGTTTTAATGTATGATTTTGTTTTTATAAATATAAATAAAAGGGATGCACCAATACCATTTTTGCAAGTAGAAGTACTGATACTTGCCCAAGTACTTACAAGTACAAGTACTGATACATTTTTGTTTATTGTCATGTGACATTTTTTCTAAAACAATACAGACTTATGATTTCAGGACATGGGTGGAGCACCAGAGCCAGGTCCCAGCTGCAACATCTGCAACCCTGGTAGTTCTCATGAAAATGCCAAGTATCGGCACTGGTATCTAAACTGGTATCTGAACTGGTATCGGTGCATCACTAGCTCAGCTAAACCAAAGCTAGGGACAATTTATAAAACAGTGAAGGTTACATTCACCAAATATTCACAGGTGGTTGATCATTGCCTGTAATTTAAAACACTTGAACCAGGAAAAAATTCACATGCAGCTAATATTTGGTGAATGTTTTTTTAAAAATATTTCTTACATTTCAAGCGGTTGGTTTGGAGCAGGATTATACATTGGACACTACAGACATCTTCTAGTGGTTAGAAGAATAAATTGCAGTTAATTATGGGTTAACAGGGTTAATTATGGCAAAAACAACTCTCCCCACCCAGGAATGATAAGCGAGTGGATAAAATCAATGCTTTTAACTATTAATTGGGTAGTATTTGTCCCCTGGGTTTAATGGCACAATATTCACATTTGTCATTTGCATTAACATTATTTGTACCTTTAAATATTATGGCTTTTTTAAATGAATGATTAATGAAGCCAGCTACCAGCTGGCTTCATTACTGAAACTTTGATGTTGTGTCTCTGCACCGACAGAGCCGTTTCTTCCAGTGACTCACAGAGAAGATTACTGGTAATATTGCCACTGACTGTCATTTCCAACCACAGAAGTAATGTATCAGTAAAGGAATAAGGCCACTTCTGTGGGATCCTACAGAATATAATATATAGAGATAGATATATAGATATATCTATATATCTATCTCTATATATATATATCCCTTTACTAGCACTGCTATAGATTCATTACTGGACATTAAAACATCCTCTATTAATCGTTTATAACACTCCCAGGTATAACTCATTAATAATTCACTACTCCAATTTATTTTTCCCTCTACAAATGACACTGCATGAAGAGCAAAGAGCAATGATAACAAATACATGACTCTAGCCTAGTTCCATCTCCTTCCAACCTTCCTTCTTTGCCACTGCAGTCAAAATAACAGACAATGTTCGGGTCGGTTCACTTTTTTTTAACAATCAAATATGGAAAGGACACTGGAGTACCTAAGACATATAAAAAACCAGGGGTTCATTTAGCCAACCGGGTTCCACCTATAACTAGAACAGCAAATTGGAGCTATAGTTTTGGGGGGGGGGGTTAAACTTTAAAAATAGCTATCATTTTAAATAATACATATATCAAAATGTAAAAAAATGGTTATAGTTCCTTTGTGTAAAATGTTGATGATTTAACTGTAGGATGGTAATAAAAGATAATGACTGATAGATACACCCTTTATGATACAGGACGTTACCAGGCAAAGAAAGAGATGACTAGCAGGAAGCAAAGACAAAAACAGACTATATCCAGTCATAATAAAAAAAGCTCTTCTATCAAATTTTGTAGAAGTGTTTCAATGACTCTTTATTGGCTGTGCTGAGGCAGATATTTGTGAGTGGCTACGGTAAAGGCGAATCCGTTTCAGAGGCCCAACAGAACAAGAATGACGTACAGACACTGAAAGATAAACTCGTTATCATATAGGTTGATAGGTTCTACTGTGTGGTTTTCAGACACTCAGTGGGCTTAAACTAAAAAGAAGATTTGCTATAAGGAAAATCTACAAATATTAATTGTACCCAAGAAGTACCCCGAAAAATGTACTGCATTTTTTTATCCTAAAAATCCTCCTGAAAAATAACAGTGCGCTTCCTAGTATGCGAGGGTGAATCCTCTGCACAGGGTCCAGTAGTTGTAGATCTGCAGTGTGAGATCTATTGCGCTGCTGCCTCTGACTGCTAGGTTCACTAGATATGAAATGAGATTTGGTGATTTCACTACTGTGCTGCTCACTGTTCTTGTTGCAGACTCTAACAAAAAAAAGCAAAGCCCTTTCAAGTTGGTTTCCTACAGACAGAGACATACTGCAGAACAAGGCATTGGATGTCAGTAATGGGAAAGGAAATAGCTGCAGGGTGGCCACAGACAATACCAGTGACTAGTCATTTCCCCTCTGCCTTTTTTGGGGTATGGCACCGAGGCCTGTTCCTTTTTAAGGAGTTGGCTTACAAATGAAATTTTTCTTAGGAAGCATTTGGATTAAAGGTGTCTATACAACAGCCAATTAAGCCACAGTTTTAAGATAATTTAAATTAATTCTTGTGGTAATCAAGGATTGTTTGGCGTCCCTTTTAAATGGCAGAATAATCTTTACCTGAACACCAAAAAGGTATAATTAATTCAAATGTTGACCTCATCTGTATACAGTATATGCTGTAGTAGTTCACTGTATAATTGCTTTTCAGTGTGCCAATCAAAGCTCACCCCAATCCCAACTGAAAAGGAAAATTTTAATTTGGGACAAAATACATTGATTAATTCAGAATAAACCTTTTCATTATTAGGGATTTCTGGGCCTCCACTGTCTGAAATACTCTCTAGAGACGATGGAGCTTCCTGGAAATCAAGCAGCAGCATTTTCTTTTCTCTAAAATAAAGAATGAGAACATGATATGAGACTAAAAATGTATTAGCACACCCAGAAAAAACAATACATTTCTTTATCAACGTGCAAGAGAAATCTGTGCTAATAAAAGAACAATTTGAATCTAGCACTCAGAATAAAAAAATAAAATATATTTCATATATTAAAAAAGTAAAACAGAAATGAAGAAAATGAAAAATGTATATCCAAACCATCATGGGCTAAAGTGTATCTAAAGCCAAAACTACTTTTAGGTTTTCGATAGCGAAGTGTCAGGATCTTTGTCTATTTCTACTGAATTATCATCATTTGCAACCTTTAGAATACAGAAAGGTTGGTAAACATTATAGAGGGGTACATGTGCATATTACAGGTTGTATTATTAGTTCACAAAATCGGAAGATAGAAGGGTCAGAGGTTAAATCAAAGTAGGGTAGTTCAATTGACAGGTAATAGGTGGTGTATCAGCAGTATTTCAAGTGGGATATTGGTGAACACCCAAGTAACACGTGTATGTTATTAGGTATAATTTTTCTTTTTGTTTCAGACAAGTTAGATAGATAGATAGGATATCCCAAAACTCTTGGGAGCCTCTGAAAACTAACTGAGCAGCCCACTTTGTGTATTGTTCTCTTGTATCATGTACCTTGACAGTCAGATGTTTTATGCACATTATGGAGTTTAATTCAGTGACCCATTCTGCAATGGTACCTCCTGAAGGCACCAGTGATGGGGGGGATGACAGCTCTGTCAGAAAATATCTTTCTTTATAGATTTTACAATACAGATTAAGAAAAGTAGGGCAGTTTGAGAGGTATTTGTTTCCATCACTTTGAAGTTAAAAAAAAAAAAAAAAAAAAAAAAATAATTTTTGTGTCCCAAAATGTTTTCATTGCAGGGCAGGCCCACCATATTAATATTTTTACAGTATTTATATAGCACCAACAATTTACATCAGTCCCTGCCTTCAAGGAGCTTACAATCTAAGGTCCCTGTCTCACATGCATACATACACACGCACACATACTATGACAAATTTCCATAGAAGTCAATTACTGCACCAGCATGTCTTTGATTTTTGGGGGGGAAACTAGAGTGCCCGGAGTAAACTCATGCAAGCACAGTAGGGAACAGGGAAACTCCAAATAGTGTCCAATCTGGTATTTGAACCAAGGACCCTAGTGCTGTAATGCAGAAGTGCTAACTACTAAAGCATATGGGTTATATTCCCCTTTTTGAGTCTGACATCTCCAACTGCTGTCAGGGGGAAAGGGATAGAAGTGGTGTAAAATTTCAGGACATCTGTATCAAAGCATTCAAATTTTTACGTTTTTTCCTTCTGTGTACTGCTAGCTTCTGCCAATATGTGGGGAAGTATGAAGGTTTGTTTCACAGTCATCAGGGTTGATGGTCATGCTTAAATGACACTTAACTCAGGGGGTTAAATCTCAAAAATGCATTCCAGTACCTTAACTATTAAAAATACTGTATCTTATTTCTGTATCACTTGGCTGTGGATCCTCAAATAATCTCTGCATTGGTGCTGACACTGTCCTTCTCATGGAGGGTGGCTACATTTCTTCTGGGGGATGGCTACTCTTGTTCTCCATGGTCCATGTGTCTGTTGTAAAATAGGTCACCACCCTGTTGTAAAGTAGCGGTGACTACTTTACAACACACACCGGGACCATGGGGAACAAAAGTAGCCACCCTCCAGAAGGAAGGACAGTGTCAGCACCAATTCAGAGATGATTTGAGGATCTTTAGCTAAGTGATACACAAACACACTATTATTCATAGTTAAAAGGTACTTGAATTAATTTTTAAGACTTAACTCCTCAGCCTATTGTTACTTTAATTATTTGGATCACGTCTCTGTGTATTTGTATTTGTATTCCAGTATCAGGTTAAAGTTGCCTCCTAGGAGTATGAGCCCAAAGATCTGTATTCAACACACTTGCAGTGACTCGTTCACTTTAAAAATGGTAGTTTTAGATAACAACGGAAAACATGTTATATTAAAGTTGTTATATTTTACCCCTATGGGTATTAATTCATTTTAATTTAGAAGAAGCAATAAAATGGTATTTTCAAAATCTTTTTCTTATAGCATTTTCTATGATTTTCTGTCTATGTACCCATTCATCCATAAATAACACACAAATATACACACCAACTATTTTGTTTCCTTTTACACAGTGTCCCTTACCTAGTGGTTTGATATCATTTTAGACCTGTGATTATGCAGCCACATGGGAGGCTCCTGAATAGAATCCTTCTGTGTCAGATGGCCCAGGTACACATTAATGGCAATCCCCTATAATTAGCCTGACTAAACACTGAGAATCAACTCTTCTGATGAATAGTGAGAGGTAAATATAGGGCTAATTACAATTGTATTCACTGCAAAACTATTTTAAGATCAAAAAGGCAAAAACAGAAGAATCACAAAACAGTTCAGTCATGCTATGCAGTGTGACTGGATACAATAACAGTTTCATATATCCAAATACTGACATAAACAAGGTACATGTCAGTTTTTAGCAGTTAAAAATTAATAGGTCGCCTCAACAACATAATGTACCACAACCAAGCACTAAAATGTAAATAGGCTGTTAAGCTATACATACACTATATTGCCAAAAGTATTGGGACACCCCCCCCCTAATCATTGGATTCACCTCCATGGCCACAGGTACACCTAGGCATGCAGATGCTTCTACAAACATTTGTGAAAGAATGGGTTGCGCTCAGGAGCTCAGTGAATTAGAGCTGCAACAATTATTCGATTAAGTCGATTAAAATCGACGATGGAAAACGCTGTCAACGTTTCCCATCGTCGTTTTGTCGGCTAAAATTCAAATTTCCTGCTTGCCGCTGCACGCCGCGCCCACGTCGGTTAAGCCGCTCACGCCACGCCCACGCCGGTAAACACGCGATGCCGCTTACGCCACGCCCACCACACACGCTGAGGACATGTGTCTGGCCCTCTCCTCCCGGTGAGCTTCCCGACTTACCGCTGCCCGCCGACAACCAACAATGCCGCTGCCCGCCGACAACGCCGTCATTCAAAGTAAGTCGAGATCGGCCGGCAGCTTTTTAATGTTTCCTCTTGTGTTTTTTTTTTTAAAGCATCACACTGCAGAACACCAGCAGCTATAGAGGAACACCAATAATACATTAAACAGCCTGTATAGGTATTATTGCTGGGATTTGTTGTTCCTCTATAGCTGCTGGTGTTCTGCAGTGTGCCGCTGTATTATACATTGGTATTCTGCATTGCATTGTATTGTGCATGGTATTCTGCATTGTATAATACAGCGGCACACTGCAGAACACCAGCAGCTATAGAGGAACTCCAAATCCCAGCAATAATATATTAAGCAGCCTTTATAATGTATTATTGCTGGGATTTGTTGTTCCTCTATAGCTGGTCAGTGGTAATCTGCATTGCGCAGTATAATCATTATACAGTGCAATGGAGAATACCACCAGCTATAGAGGACTACAAATCCCAGCAACAATACATTATATACAACGCAATGCAGAATACCAGCAGTTACTAAGGACTACAAAATCCCAGCAATAGTACATTATAGTATAATGTTGTACTATTGCTGGCATTTGTTGTATTCATCTATAGCTGCTGGTATTCTGCACTGTGCCGTATAATCATTATACAGCACACTGCAGAATACCACCAGCTATAGAGGACTACAAATCCCAGCAACAATACATTATATACAACGCAATGCAGAATACCAGCAGTTACTAAGGACTACAAAATCCCAGCAATAGTACATTATAGTATAATGTTGTACTATTGCTGGCATTTGTTGTATTCATCTATAGCTGCTGGTATTCTGCACTG